GAACGAAAGCAGAGCTTAGCTGGCTCAAAAAAATATTTATGGTCATCCCTCGAAACGACCACGAAGGTCAGTACGATAAAATGGCGTCAACTGGAGCGATAATACATGAAGGAATGAGTTCTTTCCCTCCCCCACACACATCCGTATCGTCTCAGGGGGTGACCACAGTGTTCTGCCTTAATTCGTGACGTTTTTCTAAGAACTGGGTGCTATATACTGTGCGAAATCAATCGATGTGCAACAATAAAGTTTTGGACATCCCTCTTCTAAGAATTCCAATTGAGTGTGTTTGTGTCGCCAGCTCAGGGCAATATGATATTATAAACACGAGCACATATCACGTCTCTGTTGTTTATAAGTTCATAAGAAACAAAACAGGCCTTTCATGACAGGAGAACGGAGAAACCTCTCCCAAGAGCAACAGGAACTTTGCTGCAAAACAGGCATATGTAACGATGACTTGGCGCAGATAAAGTCGTGTCTTATTTATACTCTGTTCTACTGACAACAGGCCAGCGAAAAATCTAACAATCTACAGCAAAACCATCAATTATTATGGGCGTTACAACGTAGGTGTGCAGCTGGACGAAACATACACGTCGAACCCCCCCAGACGATTTAAATCCCTGACGAAACATACACGTCGAACCATGGCAACGGGTTAACAGGTTATGCATGAATTGCCAGAAATTATATATATAATAATAGAACAAATGCCAGCTTTTTGCAATGAAAACAATCCCACAGAAGATATGTGCAACATTAACCTGTTCCCTACTCCCACAAACCTATTAAACAAAAAAGGAGAGCACACCAAAAGAAAAACAGAATTTTGACTTTTGCAGTATTGATCAAAAATGAGATTCAACATCAGAATCCTCACAAAACAAACTTAACATCACTCAATCATAGAGCTGAGCCCTTCTTGAGAAGCCACCAATTGTGCAGCTACCCAAGAACTTCCCAGGATTTTATGGAACCAGAAGGTTCATTACCATCTTCACAAGAGCCCTCCAATGGTCCATATCCTGAGCCAGATCAATCCAATCCATCCTATTTAAGATCCATTTTAATGCTGTCCACTCACCTGCGTCTTGGTCTTCCTAGTGATCTCTTTCCTTGTGGCTTTCCCAGCAATATCCTATATCCCAAATTCGTTCTACATGCCCTGCCAATCCCATTCTCCTTGACTTCATCCTAATTATAGTTGGAGAAGAGTACAAGTTATCAGGTTTTTCATTATATAGTCTTCTCCAACCTCCAGTCAGTCCAAATATTTTCCTCAACACCCTGTTCTCAAACACTCAGTCTGTGTTCCTCCCTTAATGTCAGAGACCACAAGTTTCAGAACCATAGGCAAAATCAGTTTTGTATATTCTGATTTTTATGTTTTTAGAAAGCAGTCGAGAAGACAGGGTTCTGGACTGAATGGTAGCATTACCTGAATTCAGTCTCTTAATTACCTCCTGAATCAGGTTCTGATTTGTTAGTCATTCCCAATGACCTGTGCCACATTTTGCCCTGCATTTTGGTGATGAGACAGCAACATATACAGTGGAACCTCGCTTAACGAGCACCTCTCATAATGAGCAAAATAAATTGTAAAAAATGACTCCCATAACGAGTGACGAGAGGGGAAGTCCCAGATTGTGCGCTTGCTACATCAGTCTGTGTTTAGCACTCGTTCCACTAGCATCTTAGTGTCGCTTGTGATCATACATTTTTCCAAACTTGTGTTCAGACATATTATTTGTGTTTTTTTTGTGCAAAGTTTAATAACCCTTGCAAAAATGTCCCTGAAGAAAAAGCCGCAAAAAGACAGTCATAAGAGAATAAAAATAACTGTAGAAATGAAACGTAAAATCATTGAAAAGCGAGAACGAGGTGTGAGCGTGGCTGATCTAGCACACACATACAATCGGTCTATATCAACGATTTGTACGATTTGGAGTTGCATTTTGTTTCACAGCAAGAAGTTGTGGAGGAGATTTTGTCAGAGGAGGAGGAGGAGGAGGAGGAGGTAACAGCAAAGCAACAATCTTCTGGCGCAATAAGAGAAATGCTGAAAGCATGGGAAACTGTTGCATTGTACATTGAGAAGCATCACCCTAATAAGGCAGTGGCTATGCACGCTACAAATTTATTTATGGATAATGCTGTGTCGCATTTTCACCAAATTTTGAAGTGTCGGCAAAAACAAATGTCTCTACACAGCTTTCTAGTAAAAAATAATTAGATATGTATTATAAATAATAAACTAATTATTTCGATTTTTTTGTTTTCTGCAAATCAAATTCGCATTCCAGGTTGGTTCATTCTGCATAGAAGAAAAGATGAAGATGATTCACGCTCCTTAACAATGTATATACAATTTTTTTTAATAAACGTTATACATAAAATTTTTTCAGTATTTTTTCGGCATGGAATGCATTATCATATTTTACATTAATTTATATGGGAAAAATTGTTTCGTTCCGAGTAAAATTCTGGAACGAATTATGCTCGTTAAGCAAATTTCCACTGTACTTAGATTTCTCGGTGTTTACCTCTAGACAAACCGCCTTACTAATGCCAATTAAAGTTTGTGTTGTTTTCTTTATGGTATCTATATTATCACCCAGTAGATTCACATCAGCATAGACAAACACCTTATGTGTCCCATTTAATTTCAATCCCACCTGGTTTTCCTGGACTTTCTAATGGCATATTCTAAAGCAAAGTTGGAAAGCAGTGGCAATAAAGCATTTTGTTGTATACCATTCTGGATAGGAAAATTATCAGACAGATGTTTAACTATAGACTTTATTGTGCATTTCATTTAAACACATTTTAATCAGCCTAACTAGTTTCATGGTTACCCCTATTTTTTCTCCAGTATTGATGAATGCAGGGGCACGCAGTAGCGTAGTTGGTTGAGGCATTATGCTACAAGCTGGAAGGTCGTGGTTTCAAGTCCTGATGAGGTCATTGGATTTTTTCAATTTACCTAATCCTTCCAGCCACACTATGGCCCTGGGGTCAACTCACCCTCTAACAGAAATGAGTACCAGGAATATTCTTGGGAGTAAAGGGCGGCCAGTGCGTAGGACTGACAACCTTACCGCCATCTATGAGCCGATTGTCTAGAACGGGTCTCCAGACTTTTCGAACCGTGGGCCACATTAGGTAATTCAGCACTTTCAATGGGCTAGATAAAATGAGAAATTAATAACTCTAGGTATATGAGTATTATTGAAAGCACAGAATTTCATAAACTAAATACAAAGTACATGAGAATAAATTATCGTATATTAATGACAGTAGCAGCAAATGCTCATATTTTCATCACACATTATAATAAAACAATGTGAATGATGGAACTCTTTTTGCATTTGTTGTGGTTCCAAATTCAAGACTGAAAATCAAAAGACATTGCTTAAATGTTCCGAGACTTGCGAAAAGTGTTTTACAGCCATTACATTAGTATGTCTACACCTGGACAGGCAACAAGGTAAAGAATGTTGATGATCAGCATTTATGCGTAATCACATAAGTAAGAAGCTCTGCTAATGGGGCCACTGGAGTATGGTAATATTATTAGATACGCAGCGATGAGACACCTTGGGCCCACCCCCAACCACAGGGAATAGCCAATTAGAATATAACTTTGGGAATTGAGAACAAAAAGAGGAGTTAACCTCCCTCTTTCGTCAACAGCCGATTCAGCAAGTTAAAGATATAAATTACTGAATTTAGGAGACTTGGAATCTGATCTCAAACATAATATTCAGTTGTCAGCCGGAGGCTCTAGTCAAGATGGGCCTTACGAGCGCTGGAAGTTGGCCCGCGTCTCTTATTTTCAAGTAAGTCACGTTTACTTGTTGATAAAAGTGTGTGGAAAATATTGAAAGCAAACTCCAGTGTGCCCGGCGAACCCTTAGGGGAGAATAATTATGTAACAAGTAATTGCCTAGGAAGATAGTCCGGCAATATGTCTGTGTTATGGGGTATGTGTTAAGATTACTGGTAGTGTGTAGACTTCGCACATTTGCGTTGTAGTTACGACTAATTATTTTTCTGATAAACATGGTATGTGGGCTTCTAATATGTATAACTTTACGGGCAGATTATTTTAGGGGAGAACATGAAGCGTAGCGTGAAGTAAAGACACTATGCAGACCCGACTGTAGGTCGGTCTTGTTAATATTGTAAATAATGTAAAGAAGAGTGTAAATAGACAGGGTAGTTAGAGTAGGATGTACCGGGATTGTGATTCACCCCTCCATAATCATCTTTCCACGACCGATCCCGAGGATCCTACCAAAACGAAAGGCAGCAGCAGCCGAATGCGATGACAGATAAGGGAGCTATGACAATATGTCAGGGGGTAGTTCCCACCATAGAGATGACAGACGATAGGTAGAGGCGGGTCAGACCTGACACGCCCGCTCTACTCCAATAATAATAAGAGGTGACAAGGATGAAAGGGCCAGCCAACAGAGAACGCTCGACTACCGCGCTATCGGCCCTTAGTATTTTCACCAACCTTCGTACGATATAATAGATGGTGGCAGCTTTAAGTAAGGAAGGAAGCCCAGAAACAGGAGTATCCTAGCTGAGGGTAAGCCAGGATTATTGTGTTAACTCCTTATAGCGTAAGCTGTGGTGGCAAGGAGGGGTACCTCAACGCCCCCCTGCACCACGGCGTTACAGCATTCTTAAAATCTTATTAAATTGAGGTTCAAATTTTGAAACGCTAATCACAAGTAGCGACTTTAAATGTTCATCGGATAAATTTGCCCTGTATTTCAGCTTTATGTACTTCATCTGGGAAAAAGTTTGTTCATAAAGATATGTCGTCCCAAAAATGGAGATAAATTTACAAGCAAATTTCTTTAAATTTGGAAATTGCTCAGAGTTCAGAAATTTATAAAATTCGATCAAATTTCCTTCCTTGTATTTGTCTTTAATATGATAATTTTCCTGAAGTTCAATGATCTCCATTTGAATTTGACATCTGCAGCATCACAGTCAAACAGATTTTGACTGATTTCCCGAGCACTGGAATCCAAATCGGCAAATCACTTCCGAAATTGTTCTTTCAAATCTAAAATGACTAAATTTGCAAACGAGGAAGGAAATTCTGCTTCACCCTTTTTATGCAACTCTGCACAGTATTGCATATGAACAAAGTTACAAATTATCACTTGCCTTTCCAAAAGTATCAACTTTGCTCTGAATGCCTTGATAAGTGCAAATAAATCACAGACTAAGTTATTTTCACCCTGCGACTTTAAATTCAAATGGTTCATATGGTTCACCAGAGTAGCAAAAATGCTAATTTCCAAAGCCACTTGGTATCTGATAAAAGTGGTTCGTGATGGTTTTTCTCAAATATATCAATTTCATTCCTGAGCTGAAAGAACCTTTCCACAGCTAAGCCATCGAACTGCAGTATAACATGTCAGGTCAATAAGCTCGGAATCACATTTACCAGTACTCATTGGAAAATTAGTTCAATTGGCGCATTTCTGCACAATTCTTTCGCGGGCTGGATAAAATCACATCACGGGCCGGATGTGGCCCGCGAGCCGTAGTTTGAAGACCCTTGGTCTAGAAAATGTGGGAACCTCAACATCTCACAACCCTATCGGCCTCCATGGCCTGTTACAGGGATACATTTACTTAATCTGACGAATGTAAAATATCTGATCAGTAGTTGATCTCTTATGTCAAAACCCACACTGATGAGCCACAATAGTTTTAGCTATATATGGAGTTAACCTTGAGAGAATACTGGATAAAATTCTGTATGTGGTGATGGCAGTGATATCATCCCCTGATAATTACTACAGTTTTATCACCTTGTGAACTGGTATAATTATAAGACTCCTTCCACTGATCGGGAAATTCTTCCTTATTTCAAACAGAATTAGTGTATGGATTGCAGAATGTAATATTTCACCTCCTGCTTGAATCAGTTCTGCCAGAGTTTGATCGCTATCTGGCGATTTATTCCTTTTTAAATTTGCAGTATCAATAAACTTAAGGTACTAACGGCTCATCTATCTGCCTAACATCACTGACCCTATGTACATTCAATAACTGAGAGTAAGAGTTCTTCTGCCTATTCAAAATATTGTGGGAATCTGCAAGCAATCACCATTCCTTTACTAAGTTACTGCTAGGTTGGCAACCCCTCTTAAAGTCATTTATTCCTCTATAAAGGTCCCTTAATGTTCTTGTTCAGTTCATTGCAAGCTCATAAATTTTTTCTTTCACATATTCCCTCTCTTTATTCCTGAAATGCCTGCTGATTTCATGTGTTATATTTTTCAGATTATCCCCATTTATATCGCTTGGTTCCTGTAACCACAATCTGGTGTGTTTCCTTTGGTCTAATAATTTTGAGCATCCTTCATTGAACCATGGATTATGCTTAAAGTCGCTATTATCTAGACTCTCTGACAGAAATTTTCATATTCTCTAGTAGTTTCCCAAGTTCTATTAATATCGACCTCAGTGTTTTTTAAGTTTTCCAAAGCTGCAAACCTATTTGAGAGTTCAACATGATACTGCTCTTCACCCTCTACCTCATTTAATTTCTTGAGACTGAACCTCTCCATACAAACTCACTGCCAGTCTCTCCATAACTTTTGCCACCATCAGATAATGATATCACAGTCTGCTACCCTGAATAATCGGACATCAAGTATACTTGAATGCCATCTCCTATCTATCAAAATATGGTCACTCTGGTTGTATGTCTTTCCATTAGGATATGTCCAAATAAATTTATACATGTTATGATGTGGGAAAATCATATTTTAACAGGATTTTTGGATATGGCCTAACTCCATTATAATTACTAATTTCGTCCAAACCCTCATTCCCAGTCATTGGTTATAAAATGTGTTTCCTATTCTGACGCTGAAATTTTCATGTGGTATTTAGGGAATTTATCGAATACATGTTCGACTTCTTCACAGAACCTGTCTTTTGTATCATCAGTTTATTCTGCTGGGGCATGAATATTCAGAATGATATCACACCAGTGACCTCTTATTATTAAAACATCCAACCACCAACAAACTCTAGCCTTATAACTGTTTATACGATTCTCTAAAAACTGTACCTAATTCACGATTCTCATTCCTTTCCACAGAAAAATGTATATTTGCCTGCTGGTTTGGTAGCACTGTCCCATCAGACTTCCTGTACTCCCATGAAACTGAACTTGAATCTACTTTCTTTTGCTTAGGTCGTTTATCCAAGGAATGTGTCCAGGTCTGAGACTTCTTGTGATCTTTCGTAACAAGCTTATTTTTTACAGTGAGGAGTTCTTCGCCTCATGCCCAACCCCCAAGCTGGAGGACCACCCATTATTGGCCGTCCACAACTACTTATTCAATATATTCGCAGCTACCCTCCATCTGCAACCTGAGAACATGCGGTGCGGTGACTAGGGACCAACTTAACAACCAACCATCCATGTGGATGAGAATCATCTCACCTATAACTAAATGGAATATATGACAAAAAAAAAATCTCCGATGAAATCAAATGCAGTAAAAACTCCATATATGACAAAGAGCAATTTGTTATGGCAAATAATTGTAAAATGTGTGAGCTCAAACACTATATAGCTTGCATTAACGGTTATGCACTGCATTATTCAGATGACATACATGTGATGATTGGTTAAGCCCTTCAAGATAACACTGAAATAAAATGCCCCTTTACATGGTCCTGCCTAGAGCAACTATGATACTAGACTATGTTCAATGCTGTACTTGTTTCCATCATGCTTTTCATCTGTGTTCATGTATATGCACCAAACCTTGGTGGGTGGCTGCTGCTGATTTGAAAGGAACAGGTTTCAAGTCACACGATGCTATGTGTAACTCATTCAAGGCTCTCTCAGTGTCTGAAGAGCAGAAACAGACTAACAAACAAAACCTTTTCAAGTGTGCATAATTACAATGTTAAACAAGGGTTTACTGTACTAATTACTACCACTGTTGGACATGGGATTTCCAAGGGCAGGTGATATTAAATAAACCACACTTATTATGAGACAAACTCTTTATACAGGAAACTTTGAATACAGGATGGGTAGTCAAGCAATACTGCTTGCATTTGAAGCAATCCTTGGCCACAGATCAGCACACTCCTTAGCAACTGGGCCTGTAATGGCGCTACCTGCAAAAGAATTACAAAATTACTGATCATACAAGTGCCAGGAAATGATAGTTTCCTATCTTTAATTCAGGCCTTAATCTACACCCAATGATACATTCAAATTAGAGTACAATGCTCACATTACTGGTATTTTTCTCTATGTGCCAACAGATTCTATGCTTATGTCTTCAGGTCATGAATTAAGATCAATGGAAAAAAAATATTTGTTCACTTCTTGAAATCTTGTTTCTTCTCACCTTTCATCTCCCCTTTGTTGTTTACAATAACACCTGCATTATCCTCAAAGTAGATGAAAACACCATCCTTCCTGCGGAATGGTTTTCGCTGCCTGATTACTACTGCAGGCATAACTGAAAATGGTTTCAAGAGAAAACAATCCTCACAAAAAGGTAAGTATTCATGTTTATATATACAGTAGAACTTGGTTATAACGTCATCAAAGGGACCTAAAAATAGTGTCGTTATAAACGAATGTCGTTGTAACCGAAATGGGCACTTCCACAGTAGCCTTATGTTAGTCACGTAAAAATCTACCAAAAACCGAGTTAAAATGTTGCATTTTTTAGTGAAATACGTAGTTAAGTACAGACTAACGTAACATTAACGTGGAATTGCCCAAATGTGTAATATCAAAGACATATTACAGCGCTTTTCACTGACAATACACACCGCACTAATACTGTATATTAAAGGTAGGCCTACTCACCAAATTACAGTAGATTACATCAATTGTTGTGCCTTACTGTACCTAGATACGAGTACAGTAATCAGTTATCTTCATCTGTTTCCTGTTACTTGCCCAATACACACTTTCTAAATTACGTTCAATGTCCATATCAGAGAAATTCAGGAATGAAAATGACGTTACATACGAGGTTGATGCATTTGTGCATGTCGTACTAAGCAAGGTATAAAAACAGTTGCTTTATGAGGAATTAGTTCGTACCATTGAATATTTGACGCAATAGACAAGGTGTCGCAGAAACCGATGTTGCTATAACCAAGTTTTACTGTATATAAAACATTAATCTTGTTTGGCTAATGTCTGATAAATGAATGTTTTTCAATGAAAAATCATCATAAAACTGATATGATAGCAAGAGTAAGTCTCAGGGGCATAAAAGTCACACAACTCTGAATGTATAATATGCAGGCTGGTTTGAAGTGCTGGAAATCGGCTGGATTCAAAGCTTGAAACCAAGTTGTAACCCATCTTCAACGTGCTCCCATGCAGAACTCAAACAGTGCTTAAAACTCATCATGGATTTATTAGTAAAACATGGACATTTAACAGGATATTACATCTTCACATGTGACATGCATACAATTTCCTGCTCTCATGCTTGATATATGATGAATATCAGAATGTACGGGGCATGCAGTAGCGTAGTTGGTTGAGGCACTATGCTAAAAGATGGAAGGTCATGGGTTCAAGTCCTGACAAGGTCATTGGATTTTTTCAATTGACCTAATCCTTCCAGCCGCACTATGGCCCTGGGGTCGACTCAGCCTCTAACAGAAATGAGTACCAGGAATGAAATAATTTTCCTGGGGAGTAAAGCATGGCTGGCATGTAAGGCTGACAACCTTACTGCCATCTTTGAGCCGATTGTCTATCTAGATAATGTGGGACCCTCAACATCTCACAACAATATGGGTCTTCGCTTTACTTTTTTTATCAGAACATACACATTGCCTAGAATTTCCTTTGCTGCCTAGTGATAGAGACTAGCTCTAAAGGGCCCAAGGGACCCAAATGAATAACACCCTTCACAATTCTAAAACAGAAGCAAATCCAGCTCCCAAAACATAATTTTAAACTAAGACACTGGACAACACCCAACATAATTTTACAATTAACAGACCACTGTCACAAACCTTTCAAAGGATAATGAACGTAGACTCTGAATTTATGTACAGTACTTGCATGGGATTATGCGTTCAAGGCAGTGCTACAGCTGAATTTTCTAATTTTAGCATATACACAGTGTGTTCAGGATCTGTTGGCGAATTGTGGCATTAAGATTCTTGAAGTTTCAGCTGTAGTTTCCTATAATTTCCAAGTGCAAGCATCGCTGCATCGTGTGCTGACCTTGAATGTAACAGTACTGTTCTGACGCTCGCTGGAAAATGGAGGTTGAACAGACAGCCAACATCAAATTTTGTGTAAGTTAGGCAAAACAGCCAGAGAAGCGTAGGAAATGATGAAAAGTGTGTACAGAAGTGACTGTCTGAGTTGCTTGAACATTTTTCAAGGTATGCTGTATTTTGTGATGGCAGGGAGGACACTGAAGACGCTCCACATGCATCAAAGACGAGAACAAGTCACGCTGAAGAAAATGTGAAAAAATTGACCGAAATTCTTGCATCAGACAGATGTGTTTCTGCAAGACTCATCGAGCTTTTGGGAATACCAAAAAGCACTGTGCATCAAATTTCGACCGAGGATTTGGGCAAACAGAAGGTCTGTGTGCGGTTTGTACCGCATGTGCTGTCAGGTGATGAGAAACATGCCAGGGTGGAACACTGCAAAGACACGTTATGGTCGGCCCAAAGTGATACAAAATTTACAAAATCGATTGTTACTGGTGACGAGACATGGCGTTTTCAATATGAGCCTCCCACAAAGCGGCAGAGTGCAGTGTGGTTGAGCCCAAAGAAGCTGAAACCAAAGAAAGCGCGCACGCAAAAGAGTCGAGTAAAGACACTGCTGTTGTCTTCGATTCCAAAGGAATCATCCACAAGGAATTTCTGCCAGAAGGTCAAACAGTGAATTCTGATTATCATCTCGGGCTCCTCAGTCGTTTGTGGGTGAGAATTCCTCAAATTCAACCTCAATATCAAGAGCAAGGTTCCTGGTTGCTCCTCCATGACGATGCCCCACCCCACAAATCAAAGATCTTGTGTGATTTCTTGGCCAGAAAAGGGATCACAGTCCTTGATCATCCTCCGTATTCAGCAGATTTGGCTTAAGCACATTTCTGGTTGTTCCCAAAAGTTAAGTTGTCGATGAAAGGAGACTGTCACGACACCATGCAGGACATCCAAAGGGAACCTACTGCAGTTTTAAATGTGATTTTACAAAAGGAGTACAGTGCCTACTTTCAAAAACTTTTCAATCAATTCCAGCTATGTATCGATTCAGAAGGAGACTGTTTTCAATAAAAAGAGTGGAATTTTGAAAATAGTTCACGTCTTGTATTTTTAATGAACACAGTCCTAACAGAACCTGGACACACTATGTATGTGATCCAAACACATGCATCAGTACATTTGTGTCTTATTTCTAAATCTACTATGGTATGGAAAACAGTAGTTCATCTGGTGTCCTACACACAGGCTAACAATATACAATACCAACTGAAATAACAATGTATGAAATATAATACCAGACTGACTTGAAGGAAAGGAGTATATGGTCTCACTCGAGTCAATTTGAGTCTTGTATATATATGAGCAGCTGCATGTACTTTACCCTTCTTTCTGAGCTCAGGCTTGCCCTTTTTCACAGTAGCCACGATCATGTCACCAGATCCTGCTGCTGGCAATCGGTTCAGGCGACCCTTTACTCCCTGCACAGCAATCACATACAAGTTCTTGGCGCCTGAAACACGAAAAGTTAACTAAAAATACCAATGTGACTAAGCCCTTTACGAATGCTTCATACACTCTCACACCTTACTTTCTCCATTTCAGCACTTTATGTTTAAACTCACAAGTATCCAACAAAATCTTTAAATATTAAAACCTTCAGACTGAAAAATGATGTCCTACCAGTTCTTGCAATCTCTCCAGCTTTAGCACAGACCTGTAGGAACATGCAACAGCCCTCTGATTGCGTTAGTGGTTTTCTGTTCTCCAGAGAAAGCAGTCTTCTAATATTATACAAATGCTTTCAGAAAAACTTTACACGGATTGAAATAATTACTGCAAACTTATACAACAGATTGTAGCAAGTTTCTTCCATAAGTGCACAATTACTTACAAAACTTTACGCTATAACCTAAATCTCAACAGCAGGTCCGTAATTCAACATACTGGCATTCTTCCAGTATAGTTCAACTTACCAGTGTTATCTGCACAGTTGATAACGGCTCCAACTGGTAAACCCAATGATATTCTAAACTTGGCTCCTGCGGAGCCACCACGTCCTAAAATTTAACAATAAACAAACTCAAACCAAACATCACTCTTACAAGCAAATGAAACGTGTACATATCCGCACTTACATAACAAACCGATTGACAATTTAAACGAAAAATCCGCTTGTATACATTATCATAAAATGGAGGATTTGTATGCAGTGATGACAACAGGTTGGATAATTTCAGATTTGTTAATACAGAAAAATTTCCTCACCTCTTTTCGACATAATGAAGAGCTTCTAACCGGAAACAGATCAGTGCGTTCGATTATGGTCGCAATCAGAATTCTCGTCGAAGTGAACTCCTGCGTTCCCAGAGCCTAGCGCTTATACAGCGGTCAAAATTTGAAGCTCTCACCATGTGAAATTTCTTGTAAAGGGTACAGTTTCAAAGCGAAACTTATATCCCATTATAGGCAATGGGTTTTCTTGCAGCTATTTCTAATTGCTCACCTATTGCGCACGTCTCGAGTGCTGCAGTTCTAAATAAAACGAAGTGACAAACTCTTTCTCTAAAACTAATTTCCTCTTGAAGAAAGCAGTCTTCTGGGATTTGGCACCGTGTATATGTGGTGTTAACCGACGTTTCCTCTTGTCTCGTATGGTTTCCTTTAAACTTATCACTCACCTATCTCCTAGGGTTGACACTTGAATACAGTTTCCCAGAACATGTTGGTAATGTATTAGTAGAGAATAAGTTTCACACCCATATAAAACAGTAAAAAGTAAGTTAAAGTTAAGGTATCCCTGTAAAAGGCCATGGAGACCCATAGGGTTTGAGATGTTGAGGTTCCCACATTTTCTAGACAATCGGCTCATAGATTGCGGCAAGGTTGTCATCCCTACGCGCCGGCCGCCCTTTACCCACAAGATTATTCCTGGTACTCATTTATCAACAGCTTTAGATGAGTTACTCATTTATTAGAATTAGTCCAAGACTCTCCGTTGCTTCGAACGTCAACAGAACTTCTACATGATTACTTGGCGTTCAAACACCTCAATGAGAACCCCACGTCTCACTGCAAGGAGATAGACGTACTGCTACATTCAGACGGATTTTAGCGCATAACCTGTTCACAGTTCTTGAACGCACTTACAGCGGTTGATCACGTTCATAGTAATGACAAGAGTCCTGTAATATAAATAGGTGCTATTTGTGTCGGTTGGTTTTGTTTAATGTTTACGGAACACAACTGAGATGCCTTCTGTACTCTTAACAGAATCAATAGCTTTAGAACTTGGTGGTATGTGTGTTGAAAATTACTTACAAAAGTCTCAAACACAGTATCTAAATGTGGCTAATTTTTACAGATAAAAAATTATCGTATTCCAGCTCAAGAGCCGTGGCCTCAGGACGTGAAGTTATTCCAACCCTACGAAGTAGAACAAATATTATTGCCAGACAACGCAAACTGTCTTGCAGTGCAAGCATTCTTGAAGATGTGTGGACTGGATTTTGAGGTGGAACCAAGGAGTAATGCAGAGTACATGTCACCCTCAGGTACACAAAACTGCAAACTTAATTGTTGGTTTTGTAATTACACTCAACTCTCGATTATCCGGGATAATGGTGGGGATGGAAATCACGATTAATCGAAAACCTGGTTAAGACAAATTTTATTAAAAGTAGTACTGTAATAGTGTACCTTGATAAAACTATAGGCCTACCTCTATTTAAATTTATTCAACCTCATTTTTATGTTATCTCATGACCTATTTAATACATTTTTTACATTACACTGAAGTATGAATTAGTTATTTCAGTCACAATGTTCAACAACATCCATCACTTTTTACGAATATTCACACTTAACACTTAAAAAAATTTAATATTGTCGTTTGCTTTTTCGCGGCATTTTCCTTTTTACGGATATCCGTACGAAGCCTACGTAATATTAGCTCGTCACTTAATAAACTGTTCTCTTCACTCTCAAGATAGTCTAGTAAGGATTCCAAATGATTAAGAGCAGCACCATGTGATATTTTCTTACTAGCAGCACTGTCCACCTCTTCCTCATTCTCACTTTCTTCCCGCTTTTCTGGCTGCACCCCCACTGAACTTACGATTTTGTCACTGCTTAACATTTAGAAGCCCAGCTCACATGAGTCACAGTCAAACCACTCTCTTATATTTTCCTCATTGACTTCTTCACTACCATGAACTTGGCTAGCCAATTTTGTCAATTCTATGGCTATCTCATTTTCACTGAATCCAGTGAATCCATGGATTTTGCTAATGCACTTGAAGATCGATACAAAGAGACTAACTGGGGCGGTGTATCTGTCCTTGACTTTCCACAAATCCTTGCATTCTTTCACCCCTACCCTAGAACTGTGTTAGCATAACGGGACCAAAAAATGCAGAGCTTGGTTCACAGTGGTGTGAAAATAGTGTTACAGCTCACCATGTGAAACAAAAGTGAATGAATATTAAACATATAAGCCTCAAAAAAAGCCCTGGTTAAGCCGCAAACCAGTTTGTCCGTCCTCGGATAATCGAGAGTTGAGTGTATATGTTTTGAGCTTCTGAAATGTTATGTGTGTACATATGTATGGTGAGTTTTGGTTCTAGGTCGTGTGCCATTTATCAAGTGTGGTGCTTTTGTTGTTGCTGAGTTGGATCCGATTATTTCTTTTGTCAACCACAAGGTAAATAAATTAATGTCCAAATTGAAGAAATGGGTGCAGCTTCCCCTCTCTTTCTTGCCCCCTTCCCATTTCCATGACCCTCTAATAGGCCTGCCTCCTTCCCCAACATGTCACATGCACAATACAACTGCAGTATTACCATTTAACACATTTTTGTTTTAAATTAGCTAAAACAACATAACTGAAGCTAATCCAAACGTAAATGTAAGGTTATATCGCATGTTACCTGGTATGATTGTTAACTAATAATTTAGTTAGAATATGATGAAATATTAATTAGGTTATAAGTACCCTACCTTCTCGTGTTTGAAATGCTGGAAACTGTATTTGCCTTACAATTTTCCATCAGTAATGCAACTATTTATTTCTTTATTCACATTTGCATTCGCTATTAACACAACATGTTTTGGCCCCAAACAGCCATCTTGAGGTGCCCCATTATTCCAGACCTGCCACACTGTGCTGAGTACTGTCCATTCCACATGCATGTAACTGAACATTTTGTAATTAAAATTTTATGATTGCAGTCAACTTATGTGTGTTAAAATCTTATATGTTACAATTCAATTAAANGCACCGCGACCAGTTTGATCTATTGTGCTTCCCTCTATGATATTCTACCAGTCTCTATACCCTACCGATAAATGGTGCGTACCATCAGTCCCTCCGAGCAAGCGAGTTCGGCCGCTTGCTTAGCGGTGTCTATAATGCTTCCCCCATCTATCGGAGGCCTTAGAGACTATTGTTGGGCGGGAAACATCCTGGAATATGGCTCAGTCATCCCCTTTGGGGATATGAGGTTCTTTTATGTGCTGTAAAGTTATGACACGTTCCAGTTGTCTAAGTAATATACTCTTCCTCAGTTGTTTACATTGCAGTGGCTCACTCTTTCCATATGCAAGCTTGTTATGTTTTGTCTGCAGCTGTGCCCCTTGCTTGTCCATTGTTCCCACAAGCCATGTCTGATGTTGTCTTTGCATGTGCAGACATAATGTAAACAACTGATTGACTGTCAGTTATACCTGTGCTAGAGGGTTCCATATCTAAAAGCCCTTGAAGTCTTTGATGTTTGTAATTCATCAATAGAAGTATGAATCTTTTTACGCAAAAAATGGACATAACTCTGATTTCTTATTGACTGCTACTAGTTCTAGTTTTGCTTTTGTGTTCTGTGATGGTAGGTATGGTAGGTATTTCTTTTGAAGTTTGGGAATGTAAGAGGTTTTGAAACTTAAATTTCTACTGTAGGGAAAATTTTTTACTCTAATATGACCATAGATTTGGGCCCCAGGAGATTCCTTCAAATCATGTTCACAATATTTGTAGGGCTCACCAATCCCCACATCCAGTTACTTGATTCGTATGAAGTTCTGCCTCTTATTACTCGTACAAGTAGAAAAATATGGGCTAACTTTACTTAGGTTTGAACGTTTTTATTTTAGTGCTACAATGTGAACCACAGCAAGAATCGTGCTGTAATTCATCCATATTTTCAGTATTTAGAATTCAGAACAGAATTCTGTTTATCAGCATAATCAACAAAGTTTGGTATGTTCTCCTCATTGTCAGATGGGCTCATTGTAACTGGTTGTTTATATCTTGGTAAAAGTTATACAAGCAGTGTCATATATACAGGGTGTTTCACGACTTTAGGGCATAACTGCAGGAGGTGATTTCCTAGGTCTTTGTGATCAAAAAAGTTCATATAAACATGTCCAATTTTGGATGGTTACGGAGTTATGACCGTTTTTTCATTCCCGTACATGCCCTCGTGTGAACCGCGTCTATCTGACAGGTCGCAATTTTTAGCCAGCTACAGACAGAGTGGTCTTGTTATCTCGACACTTTGAGAAGTACCAAAGGCGTGGTGGGTTGGTATGTACCCTCACGGTTCACAACCGAGTGGCAGCCTGTGTTGTGGCCAGCGATGGCATTTTCGAAAATCAGCTCTAAGCACCAATAAATTCAAATTAAAGGTAATTTCACGAAGTTAACTTTACATTAATACTTTAAATGTATCATGTATTATGCTGGTTTATTATTTTGTTCCATTTTTTGTCAGTAATTGTTACCTTCTATTCTGAGTTTAAAACGGTCATAACTCCGTAACCATCCAAAATCGGACATTTGTTTATATGAACTTTTTTGATCACACAGACCTAGGAAATCACCTCCTGCAGTTATGCCCTAAAGTCGAGAAAAACCCTGTATGTATGTATATATACATACAGGGTGTCCCAAATATGCCAAACTTCGGGAGGGTGTTCCTTATGTTATAGTATGCCGATATAACCCAAAACACCTATGTCCAAAGTTGAACGGTTACAGAGATAATGGCCAGAGAAAAGTGTGGTCTTCTGGCGGGTCCACACACTGTACCTGTCAGCTGGCTACTCTTATCTGCGTTTGTCCTTGAATGTGGTGATGGCAGCTCACGTTAGCCCCATACACTCGCATACCAGAACGCGCAGTCAGCAATCTTATGTCAGCGCTTGCCATTCATGTGTCATGTATAGTGCTTGGAACTCTTAATGACAACTTTGACATGACATGCGAGTTTTTTGTAGTTCAATTTAATGGCTTCATGTCACTCACAAGTTAGTTTGATGTTACGTACATTATTAACATTACAGAAACCACATATTCCTGCCAGTTTTAATATGTATTTTATAATCAACAAGTGTGGAACACCGGTCAAAGTTTCACACTTCTCTGGCCATTATCTCCGTAACCGTTCAACTTTGGACATAGGTGTTTTGGGTTATATCGGCACACTTTAACATAAGGAACACCCTCCTGAAGTTTGGCACATTCCTCCTGGGACACCTGTATATATATATATTGTAACGTGTTTCGTTACTGAAGACACTGTAGAGATGGTTAATTGGTTTATTGAACAATCTACAAATATCGGCTACAATTAATTATCACACAGCTGCGGGGTTTCACACTTTATAACTCTGTCTTCAGTAGTCTACACGTTTACAGTAGGGGAGCTGTGTATCACTGTATCACACACTCCCAATTACACAATCACAAACTCGTCCGGTTCTTCTTTCCGCGACGGCTGCTATACTCCAACTGTAGTCGGCTGACTGGAGAACTGTTGATAACACACTCGCTCGACTACTACTGAACTCGGCGACTGCTGCTATATGTCAACTCGACTCGGCGACTGTTACGTTACAACTCTGCGACTGCTACGTTACAACTCGACTCGCAGGCTTGCTCCGAACTAACTCGGAACTGTCTTCGGCGATGGACACGTTACAACTCTGCAGTAGCCACATTAGAACTAACTCGCAGCCGCTGTGCAGCTCACTTATATAGCCGCAGTGCTTGCCTGTTGCGTAATGAGTGCCACGTCATCCTGTTACGTCACCGCTGTTGACTCGCGTTGCATAGCTACCAGGTTGCGGGGGCTTGGCTAACTTCGGCTCCGCTCGGCTCACTTCGGCTCCGCTTGTGACGTCACCACGGGGAGAGTGGCGGGGTGATGACTCGCCTATTACGCGAGCGCTACGTTACCGCCACGTGCCGCTGGGGAGGTAGGGGTCCTTCGTTGCGCAACATGTCACACTATCTTGGAAGGAAAGACAGTTTTGTATTCAGTAAACTCAATGTTGCAGTACAGTGGGTACCACCCCTGTGATGGTATTGGTGCAGTTCAGGCTTCACCTTCAAGTGCATGATGATTTTGTGTGGTAGTCAGCAGTCACTTGAAGGTTAGAAGAACAGTGAAAGTAGACTGTGATGGCTATGTCCCACATCCCTCCCAAAGCAGAGATATTCATACTATCATTCAGTGCAAACCAACCTCTTCAGTTGGTATTTCTTTCCTCTTGTTCATAGTGACAGCATTTGGATTACTGTTAACTTTGTGAAGGAGAAATTGATGTCATGACAATGGAGTGACCTTCAGATTGTTTTTGTCAGCTCAAAAAAAAAAAAATTTGAAGACTGTAGAACTAGCAAGTAGTCATAAGACATTTGAGATGAAAAGTTTGTTTACTTTTTGTATTGAACCAGATTTATTACTATTAGTTTCTCTGTGCTACAAGCTGGAAGGTCCTGGGTTCAAGTCCTGATGAGGTCATTGGATTTTTTTTCAGTTGACCTAATCCTTCCACCTGCACTAGGCCCTGGGGTTTACTCAGCCTCTAACAGAAATGAGTACCAGGAATTAATTAAATAATTTTCCTGGGGAGTAAAGTGCAGCCAGTGCGTAAGGCTGACAACCTTACCGCCATCTTTGAGCCGATTGTCTAGATAATGTGGGCCCCTTAACGTCTCACAACCCTATGGGCCTTCACAGCCTGGTACAGGGATAGCTTTACTTGTTTTACTTTTTATTGTCAGATTCAGCAGTTGTTGAAAATGAAGATGTGTCTTTCCAGGGCATCAGCTTATCTGACAAGCTAGACAGTGTACAGAAGGCGGATATGAGAGCTTACATGTCTCTCATTAACACAGTTCTTGCCAATGCTGAGGTGAGTCATAATTACTTGGATGAGAATTCTGTTATTGTTAATTTGTTAACTCAAATCACTATGTCAGTGCATGAAATGTTTGCAGTTCTATTTATGCTCAGTGTGTCAGCTTATCTTCAGGGAATTACAGTAGTGTGATGTGTCTTGGAGGAAGGACTTACATTATGATGTAAACACAATTAAACATTTTGTTAAGCATAGCTGTGACACTTTCATTGCAAATTGAATTTTATGAAAATTCCTTAATGTAAAAATTGTAAGTACACGTTTAATTGGGGGCATGCAGTAGCGTAGTTGGTTGAGGCATTATGCTACAAGCTGGAAGGTCGCAAGTTTGAGTCCTGATAAGGTGGATTTTTTCAATTGACCTGATCCGTCCAGCCACACTATGGCCCTGGGGTCAACTCTGCCTCTAACAGAAATGAGTACCAGGAATCTCCCTGAGTGGTAAAGAGCGGCCAGAACATAACCTTACTGTATCTGTGAGCCGATTGTTGAGAAAATGTGGGAGCCTCAATGTCTCACAAACCTATGTGGTTTCACGGCCTGTTAAAGGGATAGCTTTACCTTTTACATGTCTGATGAAGGTGGGAGGCATGTACTAAATGGGACTGTGAGAAATTGGTTGCAAAGATGTGAACTGATTCAGAATAAGGTTTAATGTCAGGTTCTGCTGTGGTGGTTGTGAACAATCCAGTTCCTTCAGTGGTCAACTTTGTGTCCTGGGTGGGGGGGATTTTGGAGCAATATGCTCGTATTGAAGTACCTGAGAGAAACAAGTAAAGCTGAATTCCATGATAACATCAACAAACTAATTTCAATAAATTATTACTATTAATCACCGTGTAAACTTAATCTTAGTCCATTTTCCTAAAATGGAATTACATTGAATAATATTTTTCTTTTATTGTGGCATGTGTATCAAGTTATGGTCCTGTTAAAGTTTCTGTCTACCCCTCTTACAAGGTTTCTGAAATTTCTATCCTCAATAGTAGGATGATGATAGAGGGGACATACAGTGCAACATGGGCACTGAAAAATGGTAGGAGCCTGGCAGTCTCCACATGTCTGAAGTCTTAAACTCTATAATAGGCTGAAAACTGATTTTTAACCTTTAACATATGAATGTTTTATATATATCTAACAGCAGTTAACACCCCAGGCTGTGTCATGTTATATTTATTTAATGCAGGATGCCCCTCCTCTCCCCCCCTGCTCTCTTTGGGAGTGCTGACAGTTCGATCTTGCTTGAAACCAAAACAAACCCAGCAAGGTCATGTCAGTGGTTCATTTGTTATCTCTGAAGAATTAAATTGTTTATCATGGTACTGATTTCGATACCATTTACTTTTAGATATGACTGTTTATGACCTGGTCAGCCAAATAGAGCCCAGCTTTGTTTTGAGAACTGAGGAGTAAAGTGTTTTGCTACTGAAGATGCCATTCTGATTGTTAATTGGTTTATTTAACAACCTACAAGTCTTGGCTACAATTAATTATAACACTGGTATGGGTTTACACAAGTTACAACCCCACACAATAACCTGTCCACTCTGTCCTCAGTAGTCTACACGTATTCACAGTATGATACGGGAGCTATACAAGTGTCACTGTATTACATGCTCCCAATTACTTCTCTTGTGAGCCAAGCATCTGCTTCTCACGCTATCACTTCTAATCACACGTTCCGGTATTCTTCTTTCCGCTACAACTGAACTTGGCGACTGTTCCATACGCACTTTGTCACTCCTGCTCACACACTGACTGACTGCCTCCCTGGCTAGTTCGCTGCTCCTTATTTAGCCCCGTTACGGACAACACAGAAAACAGTTTCGTAATAGGCACCACTGTTGCGTAACATCGTGTTTACCGACTCCCTAGGAACAGTCGTTGCACGGACTCCCAGCCGTGTTTACAAAGTCGTTGCTGGGCAGCAGTGCCGGGAGTTGTTTACGGCTACGTAGCAACTGCAGCATCCCGTGTTACGTCACCACGGGGTAAAGGGGTGTCTACTGAGCTTTGCACACTGATGGACGGAGTGGGGGTATGTGACGTCACTCGCGAGATCACGGAGTTCACGCGACCCCCACCTCCCGCTACGTCATCCACGTCACAATATTTATCTGTGCTCCCAGATTAGTCCTTTGGAATTTCATAACATATATAATAACGATTATATTTTGCATTTCATGTCAAAATAATCACAGTTAATTTTCATTTGTAAAAATTGCTCTTTTGTGTATATGTAGAAAATTGTATTGTCTTTCAGGTTATTTTTAGTATGTATTTCTGTGTTGTGTAGAATGGATAGTATGTAGTTGTTTTTGAAAGTCTGCAATGTTAAAGACTTGAGGCCATTTAAATTCCGGCCGCAGAGGGCTGCTGGCAATTTAAAAGTCCGTGCATTAAATGTTAAAGTGGTCTTCTGTACATTGATCATAGTTAGGTGTATGTTGCAGTTGTATATAACATGGTGTGACAAAACAACACTGCAAGAAGTAACAAAACCACGCTTTGGTTCTGTCCTACCTTGGCCGCTGAATCACATCTTAGCCTGGCAGAAACGTAGCCAAGTGGTGAAGAAGCTTGGGGTTTTGGGCTGGGGAAACAAAACACTGGATGAGGTAACTGTAATGTACAGCTGTGCCTTGATTTATACAGATTTCGTTTACTTATATCTGGAATTATGTGGTTGTTGTATGAGGGGCGGTCAAATGAAAATGGGTCAGAAGCCAAAACATATTAAAGAACATTTCTTACCTCAAAAGTAATCTCCAAAACTGTTAATACATTTATCCCACTGGGAGATAAGATGGTCAGTCCCATCCTTGAACAAGCTTGTGGGCTGTCTACGGAACCACACCTTTAATCAGCCACACATGTCTCCGTCTGATGCAAACCAATGTCCACGAATGTCTCTCTTCAGGTCTCCAAAAATGTGAAAATCACATGGGGAGAGATCTGGACTGTTGGGGGGATGTTGAAGCTGTTCCCAACCAAATCTCTGTAGCGTATTCCTCACAGAGTTGGCAGTGTGGGGCGCGGATTATCATGAAGAAGGATAATGCCGTTCGGTAGCATTCCAGGGCGGTTTTACTTTATGGCACGTCTCAGTTTCTGCGAAGTGTCTTCATAGTGCTGTGCACTGATTGTGGCCCATGCTCGAGAAATTTGACAAGCAAAGGGCCTTTGCAGTCGAAGAAGGTCATCATCACTTTACCGGAACTTGTGTGTACGGCTTTGGATTTCTTCGGTGGGGGAGAATTCACCTGTTTCCACTGTTGGCTCTGCCGTTTGCTCTCGGGTTCAAAATGGTGGCGGCACCAAGTTTCGTCCCCAGTGGCAATATGGAACAGAAAAGCATACTCTTCCCCAGTGATGCAGCCATTCTCTAAGTCTTCTGTTCCTCGGTGAGTTGATGTGGAACCCACTGCGTGCAGTGCGCGGTACAACAGGTGTTTTGTCACAGTGACGTGTACAGAACCATGATTTTCCTGTCAAAAGACTAATTTCTTCCACAGTGATCTGTCGGTTTGCCCGGATATGACCATCCAACGCAGCAGTAACATCAGGAGTGATGACATGATGAGCCTGGCCTGGGCCAGTATCATCTTGCAGTGACACACGTCCCTCTTGGAATCTCTTATGCCACGCCAGCACACGCGAACGTGACATGCTCTGTTTGCCGTAAACAAGAGACATGCGACGATGAATTTCTTGTCCTCCTACTCCTTCTTCAGCAGTCAGAAAGCGCACTACACTTCGCTGTTCTTCTTTACCCGCCTCCATTACTGATGTTGGACGACCACACATAGCGCTAACCTTACTTCCAGCACAATCAACAAACGATTAGTATGCAAGGGCACATCAATGTGCTTTCCCGAGTCCCCACCAGATGTTTGTACCGTAAACAGATTCCAGTGTTACCAACTTGTGCACCGTGTGAGCTATGCGTGGTGACCTGTTTTCATTTGACTGCCCTTTATAGTGACACCATTTTCTTTTAATATATGTGGACAGTTTTTCAGAATTATGCATGACTCCCATATGCCAGAAACTGTCCTGTTATCTAGTGCATGATTTTAAGGGGGTACAATGTGGAGGAGGATGTGTCTAAAACCCAGAAGAAATTTATGGGGTTGGGGAAGGAAGTAGGCTTTAATGAGGTGGATTTAGATGCTGTGGAGGAGTTATTAAACTTGCACAAAGAAGAACTTTCTCCTGAGGATTTAGTTCAACACGAGGGGAAGGGGGAGGAGGAAACAGCAAAGGTTGAGGTTGTGCATACACTCATGATCAAAAGATTGGTGGAAATATTTAACCTGGTAGAGGAAGGTCTTAAATGAAGATGATTTAAGAGTGAACGAAGTTCAAAAGGATCAAGATGTGTTTTATTAGCCATGCAGTGCTACACTGAAATTTTAAAAGGAAAGAAAATGAAATCCTAATAAGCATAATTGATGTCCTTCAAGAAAAAGGAAAGCATTAAACTGCCTGAACCTCATTCCTCTATCTTGGATATCTCGAAATCCAAACAGCTTCCAATAAGTGAGGTGACATCTTTACTTCTTGCTTTTCTACTGTCATTTAACCCACATGACTGCTTTCTCCAGTAACACCTCTTTCCCATACACCACCACTAGCAGGCCACATCAGGTAGTGGTCAGCTTAGTCTAAGCAAAACTTTTTATTTAAAACTTATTTTATTGTTTGACATAGGCTGTTTAATGTCTTTATTAGTAGTAGTGACAAATAAGCAAAATGCTATAAACACATTTAAAGTAAAAGAGCAAAAGAAAAAGACGTTCAGGTGGATACTGAGGCAACATTTCCCCTGACAGATATCATTTTCTTTATTTCTTATGGGAAAGCTATGTTTGATTTATATGCCCATTTTGAAGACTGCAGTTGCTGTGTAAAGTGGTAAGTGGTTGCACTTCACATTCAACTACAATTTGGCACTAGCTTCTTGTTTCACTTAATGACAATGTGTCACCTTCAGAGGTTGTATATTTCCAAAGATAAATTACAGGATTAAAATGGTGAGAAATTCATAGATTATTTAGCAACACACTCTCAACTATACAGGTCAAAGGACTGTAGTTCCCATGTTTTAAGGTACTGTTTCAGAATTTTGGTGCAGGGATTGATGAGAAGAGCAAACAATTCTGTCTGACAGCTTGTTATCAAATATGAAGCAGTTGTTCAAATAGATACACAGCAATGATCTGTTTCATGCTCTGTAAGAGAAGATATTTTGAAATAAACAAAATGAATATTTGTAACAACTGTAACTTGTAGGTCAAGTGGTCATAACATAAAGATGACATTCTACATTGCAGTATCCTGTTGCCTTTCATTGTGGTTAGGGTATATCTAGTTACTTCTAATTTGATACACCAGTTTCTGGTTTGTTGACTTGTTGAAATAGAATAGTTGAAATATATTCTAGTTAATAATTGACAACCACTGTAATGGTAACATGGCATCATAATCAGTAAACAATAACAACAATTTAGTACTTCAGAAGATGGTGTGTTGTGTTAGAAATGGTGATTGACAGATAATACCCAACATGTAGAGACGCACTGTGTCAGAATCAATTTTCATCATGTGATCCTCTGAGAAGATTAGCTCAGTTGACAACACTTCTGTCTTGTATGCAGTTTAAATCTATTCTGAATTACAGTCTATCCTGACTGAGATTGTCATGATTGCTTTGGCTATTAGGCTGGTGCATTAAATTAGGCAACTTCTCTCCAAATTGTTTCCAGTTCAAAGTATGTAATCATCTTCTCATGTCATTGGGTACTAAATATGTCCTCCAGTTAGTGCAGTGGTGTTAAATAGTGTACAAATTTTCTGTGTGACCCAGAAGGATCCACAAATTATGGCTGTACAAAGTGTGTTTAATTGTGAGGACGTGGAACTAGTGACTGTGTTTGTATGCACAGGTGTACGAGGAGATTGAGAACTGCTGCAGTGCCTTGTCAGAGAGGCTTGAAAATCGACCCTACTTCTTTGGAGACAGGTGAGCCAGTTGGTGATGCAGAATGGAAGTTTATGTTGTTTGCCTTCGGTCATATGTCTTTTAACAGTAAACAATGGAGTGTACAGAAACAGATGCTCCTCACTGTATGGTGCTGGAATTCTATGGTTCCTGATGACTGTTCCTGCACATTGGTAATGGTGATGTCAGAATGATACAATACTGTAATGTCTGTTAGCTGATCATATTTGTTGATATATAACACCAAAGTTCTCACTGATTGGATTGTAATTATTGCCTGTCCATTTACATTGTATCAGAGCAATTTATGAAAACTTATATGAATATCCTGTAACCTTTATTATTCAGGAATAAAAAGTAAAAAAAATAAAGGTATCCTTTTAACAGACCATGAAGGCCCAAAGGGTTGTGAGGTTCCCACATTTTCTAGACAGTCAGCTCATAGATGGTGGTAAGGTTGTCAGCCTTATGTGCCGGCTACCCTTTACCCCAAAGAATATTCCTGGTACTCGTTTCTGTTAGAGGCAGAATTGACCCCAGGGCTATAGGGCTGGAAGAATTAGGTAAATTAAAAAAAATCCACCTCATTGGGATTTGATCCCACGACCTATGAATTTTGAATCTATCAGTACTGCAGCATTTATGGTCATATTTTAATTTCAGTGATGAAAAAATGCAAGGCACCACCAGCTGAAAAGCACACATGCACTGTTACAGGCCTGTATGACTTGGCATTCATTTGTCTTTGTTGGAGAAAATACATTCAGTTATACTTCATATTATCCACGTGGTGACGATCCAATTTGTGGTGTATTTGTTCTCCATTTGGAGCATTTGCAAGTGTGGAGCACCTGTTAAGTTCACCAAGTCTGTTGATCTCTCTCTCTCTCTATCATTCTATCTATATATTGTCATGTGTTGGGTATGTTCCGCGACAATTTCACGTGGGTCTCAGATATAGCGAATCTTTATTGGACACTCACTCTTACACACCTTACAATTATCACCACTTGCAGTGTCACTTGACTTCTGGCCCAGTACTCCAATGCGACGTCTCCACTATCCTTGGCCGTGGTTGGATCTCAACTGTCTCTGGCGGCGGCTATCCCAAGATTGTCCCGTTCTCCGGGTCTAACTAGCTCTGCACATATAGGCGTTATGCGGACTGGATACCAGACATCGTTCCTCACAGTTCTGTTACTATTTCGACAGTTCACTGTTACGCAACGATTCTTCTGTTGTTCATCTCTGGGGAGATTCTTTTGTCGTTTCGGCGTTGTCTATGCAACGGCTCCTGTTATTGCGTTACCATGGAAGTATCTACTCCGAACACATTACAATATATACATATATAGAAAAAATCTTGAGAACTGCTTGAGTTATTTTAATAGCATCCAGACAGACTTTGGGGCCTGCCAAGCCTCCTATTCAATGAGTACTGGGGGGCTCTTTCCCCAGGATTAAAGTAGTTGGTGCATGAAGCTGACCAGTCACCCCACATCTAGTGCCAAGGTCAATAAAGGTGCAGCTATACCTCCACTCTCCCGTATGTCTTTATGGTGTAATTTCTGCTTGTATCTTACGTATGCATCACTGAATATTTATTGGAATATGAAACTTGTAAAACAAAAGATATAATGAAAAATGAAACATAATATTTTATTAGCAATTAAGAAAGTTAGTGATGAAAATCCTGCCAGTGTTTTAGATGGGAAACAGATGGTGTCCCAGTTGGGATGTTTTTTTGTGTGGATCACAGATCCAAGAATGCCCTGGAAGCCAACCACATATTTTTTTTATTAACACAACATTGAGTGTAAATTTGGACTTACTTCACAATCCATCATCCATTATTGCATTACAGACCGACCGAGTTGGATGCACAAGTATTTGGACACCTCTTCACAATTCTGACCACTCCACTCCCCAATAACCGGTTTGCAAGCATTGTTCGAGGCTACCCTAATCTCATTGAGTTGTGCAAACTTGTGGAGAAGGAATATTTTGAGAGGACAGCAGAGGCTTGATGCAGCCATCATGATTGATACAGTGTTGATGGGACTTCCTTCAGAAATACTGAGCCACTGGGTGACCACTTGTATTGTTAAGGTTCTGTTTTCATATTTTGCGTTTGATCATAACCCATAGCTGTTTCTGTTATGGATGTGTTATATGCTGTTATATTATTCTCATGTATGTATAACTGTTTTCTTCTTGAGTTGTGGTCAGTATCAGCCTCCAGGTGCACTAATCAAAAAGGTCTTGGTTACATAAAAGTAAACAAATTTTAAAATTAATTGTATTATGCTGATTGGAAATCTGAAGAAAAAGAATTCCATGCCACAATTTTGTACATTGAATTATGTGCCAAAACAGCATGTTTTCCACTTTCACATTCTTTTCTTACTGCTCTTAGAATTCTGATCAGTTGTAGTATGAAATAATGAGGTTCTATCCTCAATATCATCATCATAAGTGGTAAGCATGTGGTCATTTTTTAACCACTTTATAAAGTGAAGCGTTTTAATGGTACATTTTTTCTATCTAAATCCAAAATTTTGTAATAGAAGAGAAATGATTACAGTGGTTTGGCCATGAGAGAAGAATGGACAGAACTTGGGTATCACAGAGGACATTAAAAGAATGAGACCTGTAGGACAACCACAAGCAAGATGACTGGGCAGGTACTAGAAGACACAAAAAGTGAGAAAGGAGCTGGTAAGAAATAAAAAAGAAAGACATGGGCATATAGAAGAGATAAAAGAATTTTCATCCGTTGACCCATATGAAACAGAAGCAGTACTAGAAGATGAATACATTTTTAAAGTATGTATTTCATATTTCATGCTAAATTGTCTGTTATTGAACTTCAGAAAAAGAAAAAGTAGATTCTGATATTCACATTGCAGGACAAAGATGTGTATGCCCAGCAGAGAAACTTGCAGTTTGATACTGACTGTGAATCAGATTGGGGTTATGTATTCCCTGTACCAAAAAACTGTGACTAATTCAAGAGATATGGAATGAGGTTGATAAGCAGAGAAATCCACACTTGATCTGGCTGGATCTTTAACACAGGACCTCTGATAAGTGAAGTATGTGCCTAACTATAAAACATGAGGTCCTCACCTTTTCATTGATGTGAGACTGAAATTTTTCTTCACTCTTGCCAAAAATGGCATTTTCATCTGTGATACTCCTGTCTGTCCTTATTCATGTTCAGTGGGTCATATAACTGAATTCAGTCAGTTGGTGCTGGTAGTATAGAGCTCTGTAAATTGATTTTCATATTGTTGACTGCCTTAAAAGTGTTTGTCCAGCATGCCATATCCATGACTTTTTCATCAGTCTGTGATTAGTGGCTCTGTGTTCTCAGTGGGTGCCATGGTAGTTTTGTTCCTTATGTTTATGAAGTTGGGAGATGTGCATTTAGAGTTGATTTGTACATTGTTTTATTATGCTGGTAATAAAGGATTATTTTAGTTGCAGAACTGCAGTTTGTCTAAATATCGTACAGTTTCATGATTTCCTTTCGAGCATCTTTCAACCCGTCACCCACTGTACTGCACCAGTGTTTTTGTGCAGTTATGATTTATTTTGTATAAAATATTAATATATTTTATTTTATGAGATTGGAGGTTTTCACAGGAATGAATGTCAATCGGTTACTGTCTTCTCTGATTTAATACTATGTATTCTAATAGATAGAAACTAGTGTTCTGAAGGAACCCTTTGCCTTTTTCAAGGTAGAAGGTTCCTGAAGATGGAGGCACAGATTCTTACAAGACATTGGTACCTTTCTACCAGAGTATGTGGCATCACATTGCAGAAGACAGTAATCTTTAGCCTTTATTTTAATTAATGGTGACACACAACATGAGCAAGTAATGCTACATAATTGAGTACGTCGCTAACATATTTCATAAACAGGTTCTGCAGTTATATAATTGTCTTTGTCCCATTACACATAAAATTAATAGGAGCCCCTACAGGTGAAGCAAGAAATTTGTGATGTCCACACACACAAGACCTGCCTTTTACACTAAACACCTCATCATTACCCATAATATTTACTGATGACACTAGTGTCATAATTTCTAGTAAAAATTTAGATGATTTCTGTGTACTATCAAAGTAGTAAATGATTTTCCGCAAACAAACTGCCCCTGAATCTAGATAAAACAAATGTAATGAATATGACAAAACTTTTCATCCTATTGACACTCTAAAGCACTTTTTCTAAATGTGCCACCTACCATAACATCCATTCATTCTTTCATTTGCTCATTTATGTTCCATGGATCCTTTAAAGACTGGAAGACCAGTGGATATAGAAATAGTCAAAGACAACAAGTCCCATCAATTATATAGATACAAATTAATTATACTTAATCCATAACAGTTACATGTGTTATCCAAGGCAAATCACAATGAGTAGATCATTAAACAGTTACAAAATATATGTATATAAAAGCATGCAACATACTAATATTTAACAAGACTACAATAATCAAACCTAAAAATATACTACTAGATGTCCAGCATATAATAGTGTGACATGTGCGAAAAGCCGAGCCCCCCCCCACACCAGCAGTGACGCGGCGGGTGAGTCAGCGCTCCCCTCCCACCCCTCAGCGGTAACGTAACGCTCCTGTAATAGGCGAGTAATCACCCCGCAATGCGCAACGCGCGGTGACGTCACGAGCGGAGCCGAAGAGAGCCGAGCGGAGCCGAAGATAGCCGAGCCCCGTAACCTGGCAACTACGCAATGCTAATCAACAGCGGTGACGTCACGCTAGCAACAGCGTCCTATGCTATCCGCCACGTCACACTAGCAACAGCGCAAGGCTATATAAGCGGACCCACAGCAGTGTGATGATCAGTTGAAACATAGCAGCCTGCGAGTGTGCGATAACTAAGAAGTCAGCGAGCGGAAGACTTATTGTGTGCTTTCCAGACATAGTGAGTGCTGTAGTACAGTTGTACTCGAAGTGTGTAATTCAGGGAGACTTGTATAGCTCCCGCGTTATTAGTACGTGAAGACAAGTGAAGACGGTGTTAAGAGATTTTGTTGTAGGGTTTGTAAACTGTGGAAACCCGTAACGTTGTGATAATTAAGTGTAGCCGATAGTTGTAGATTGTTCAATAAACCAGTTAACGATCTCTACGGCGTATTCAGTAACGTAAACACGTTACATTGGTGTCAGAAGTGGGATTAGGACTTACACACGTGATCAACGAGATTCGTACTCAAAACACGTGATAATTTGGTGTCAGAATTTTTACGAACTTAAACACGCCTGACAAATAATTGAATTATTGTGCATCGAGTATTCTACTGCGACAAGATGGAGATGCAGCAGATGATGGAAATGCTGGTGAGGATGGACGCCGATAGGAAGAAAGACAGAGAAGACTTCCTGGCCAAACTAGACGCCGATAGGAAAACTGATAAAGACGATATGCTGAAAGAAATGAAGGCCGATAGAAGGAAAGACAGAGAAGATTTCCTGGCCAAATTAGACGCCGATAGAAAAACTGACAAGGAAGAAATGAAGGCCGATAGAAGGAAAGACAGAGAAGATTTCCTGGCAAAATTAGACGTCAACCAGAAACAAACCGAAGTCATGCTGACAAAATTAGACGCCTACCAAGAAAAGGCGGAGGCCGATAGGAAGGCCGACAAGGAAGAAATTAAGGCCGAAATGCGATCTATGCGGTCAGAGTTGGATGATAATATCCAACATCGAGTTGAAAACATTTTGGCGATCGTTGAGCACGACAAACAGACTCTCCGGTCAGAAATAACTGAGCAGATTGAAGTGTCCCTCTGCGCGCGGACAGATAAAATCCAGGAAGAGCTAACGAAAACATCTGCAGCAATTGACGAAACCAAACGCGAGTTCCAGGCCCGGTTGGACATAGTGCAAATGAAGGCCGAGCGGGGAAATACAGCAACGATCGTCGCGAGCACAGCTCAGCCACCGACATTCTACGGGAATTCAACGTGGAGCGTGTTCCGGCGACAATTCGAGACCGTAGCAGAGCACAACCAATGGACGGATAAGGAAAAATCGACGTACCTAATTACGGCCCTGAAGGGTCGGGCGGCGGAAATACTACCCGGCATTCCGGCAAATACAACTTACGAGGAAACTCTTCAGGCTCTAGAGGACCGTTTCGGGGACCAACACTTTGCAGCTGCTTACCACTGCCAGTTAAGAACAAGGACGCAGAAACCTACAGAGTCCCTGCAAGATTTTGCCACGGCCATTGAACTGCTTGCCCTTCGTGCCTACCCCAATCTACCTGCAAACCACATTGGAAGAGAGGCAGGAAAAGCGTTCGTATACGGCATACGAGATGCCGATATTAAGATCCAGCTGCTGCTGGGAGGGGAGAAGACGGTGAACGAGGCCCTCCGACAAGCGCTAGAGCTGCAGGCGGTACTGGTAGCAGCCAGACCTCACGGAGATAGCACAAAGTTCCGATCGTTCCCCACCCAACGAGGAGATGACAATAGACAGCACCAGGACCGAAAAGAAGGACCTCTAAGAAACAAACGGGAATCGCCGGAGAAATCAGAATGGCGACCCAGAAACAACAGGGAAACAAACTGGAGAAAGGACCAACCGTCGGGAAACGAGCGACGGCCGGCGGAGATGGGCGAACGCCGGCATATGCGTTAAGGCCCCCACACTACGCACTCACCGACATGACGGAGAAAGCCAACACCAGTCTGGTCACCCAGGGATGGGTCGGTGATAAGCCGTGTCAGGTGACAGTGGATACTGGAGCATACGTCACGGTGGTAAGACCGGATATCGCCGCCGGATGGCCTGAAAGACAGCCAAATCCAGATTTCTCGCTACAGACCGTGTCTGGAGGATCCCTGCCCATACTGAAAGAAGTTCTGTTGACCCTTACCCTAGGGCGCCAACCTATTACGATGTGGGTTTTCGTCGCGAATATCACCGATGAGCTCATCCTGGGACTGGACATACTACGCGCCTACGATGCTTCAGTGGATATAGGGCGCCAAACTCTTCGTCTGGCGGAAGAAGAAGTATCGCTATGGAGTCCTGGGGCAGGACCCCGTCCTTCTAACTTAGTAGTGGCAAAAGACCATGTGATACCCGCACGGAGCGAGGGAATAGTGATGGCTAAAATGAAGAATCGTCTGGGAGTAGAGAACGGTTTAGTAGAACCAAGCCCCCAGGCCCACCCTCCTGAAGGAATTTACGTGGCCAGGACCCTAGTTCAGGACTGTCAAGAAGTACCAGTGAGGGTCATGAATGTTACCCAAAAGGACCAAAAGCTCAGGAGAGGATCTCCTCTGGCGCACTGTGAGCCAGTAACACTCGTGGCTTTGCCCGAGATGGGGCAGCCACCAGCACCAGGTCTAACACCGAAATTAGCGGACGTGACCACAGCGGCCAAGCCACACCTAAGCCCCGGAGAATTTCAGGAGTTAGAGGATCTCGTGTCCGAGTACGCCGATATCTTCGCACAAGACAACGAAGATTATGGAAGGACAAACAGGGTATATCACCGCATAGACACGGGAGAAGCCCGGCCAATTCGACAGCCACCGAGGAGAGTACCCCTGGCAAAACAAGCAGAAGTGAAGGAAATGCTTGACAACATGCGAGGACAGGGTGTTATAGAAGAATCGGACAGCCCTTGGTCGTCCCCGGTCGTTCTGGTCAGGAAAAAGAATGGGGAGCTCCGTTTCTGTGTGGACTACAGAAAGCTGAACGACGTCACCAAGAAGGATTGCTTTCCGCTACCCCGCATTGACGACACCCTGGACACGCTGGCCGGAGCCAAATGGTTTTCAACTCTCGATTTAAAGAGTGGCTATTGGCAAGTCGACGTACACCCAGACGACAAAGAGAAAACAGCGTTTTCGACAGGACAAGGGCTATGGCAGTTCACAGTCATGCCCTTTGGCCTCTGCAATGCCCCGGCAACCTTCGAACGGCTAATGGAGACAGTCCTACGAGGGCTCACGTACGATTCATGCCTTGTGTATTTGGATGACGTGATCGTAATAGGCCGCACATTCCAAGAGCACATGCTCAACTTACGGAAAGTGTTCGAGAGGTTCAGGGAAGCCCGTCTAAAACTTAACCCGGAAAAGTGTAAACTCCTGCAGGAAGAGGTCCGGTACCTCGGGCATATTGTATCACCAGAAGGGGTATCCACCGACCCGGAGAAGTTGAAAGCCGTGCGAGAATGGCCGACCCCGAAGGATAAACATGAAGTTAGAAGCTTTCTGGGACTATGCGCGTATTACAGGCGATTTATTTCAGGGTTTTCCAACATTGCGAAGCCACTAACGAAACTAACGGAAGAGAAACGAACCTTCCAGTGGACTCCAGAAGTGGAGGCCGCTTTTCAAACGCTAAAGGGTGCCCTATGTGCTGCCCCTATTCTTGCCTACCCACAGCCAGGAGAGAAATTCATTGTGGACACAGATGCAAGTAATGTCGGAATTGGAGGAGTTCTCTCTCAAATCCAGGACGGAAAAGAGCGTGTCATAGCTTACTTCAGCAAGACGCTAAACAAAGCAGAGAGAAACTACTGTGTCACCCGTCGAGAACTACTTGCCATAGTGAGGACACTGGAACATTTCCACAAATACCTCTACGGACAACAGTTCCATCTGCGAACGGACCACTCTGCGCTTACCTGGCTTATGAGTTTCAAGAACTTAGAGGGACAAACTGCGCGCTGGATACAGCGTCTACAGGAGTACAACTTCACTTCGGAGCATCGTCAGGGCCGAAAACATAACAACGCCGACGCCCTTTCTAGACGACCCTGCCAAGAGCAATGTGCGCACTGCCACAAAGTTGAGACGCGGGCAGAGGTAAAACAAATACGCGTTATTGGAACCCTACCGGCAGCCGGCTGGGACCCTGTTACCCTAAGAGAGGAACAGCTAAAAGACCCGGACATAGGACCCATTCTACAGGAAGTAGAGAACGGCCAACGACCGGAATGGCAGGACATCGCGGATCGGAGTCCCACGTACAAAAGCTACTGGGCCCAGTGGAAATCGCTCGCTGTGAGAAACGGCGTACTAGAGCGTGACTGGGAATCCGTCACCGGAAGACGTCAAGTAGCCCAGGTAATTATTCCTCGGAGCAGGGTGAAGGACGTTCTGAGCGAACTGCACGGTGGACCGTCAGGAGGTCACTTCGGTGTCAACAAAACTCTGAATAAGGTTCGACAGAGATTCTACTGGCTCCAAGCAAGGACCGATGTTGAGAAATGGTGTCGACAGTGTGACACATGTGCAGCCAGTCGGGGACCGCGGACCAGGAATCGTGGGCAAATGCACCAGTATAATGTCGGTGCTCCCTTCGAGAGAGTAGCCATTGATATCGCAGGGCCCTTCCCACGAAGCGACCAAGGAAACCGATACTTACTGATCGCTATGGACTACTTCACCAAGTGGCCGGAAGTGTACGCCATCCCGAATCAGGAGGCTTCAACAATAGCGGAAGTTCTGGTTGCCAACTTCTTCTGCCGCTTCGGCATACCTCGAGAGTTGCACAGTGACCAAGGCCGTAACTTCGAGTCTCATCTACTGAAAGAAGTTTTGCAACGCCTGGGAGTGAGCAAGACGCGCACCACACCCCTGCACCCACAGTCGGATGGCATGGTGGAACGCTACGTCAAGACCATCGAGGAGCACTTGCGGAAGGTCGTCTCATCGCACCAAAGGGACTGGGATGAGAGGTTACCCCTCTTTCTCCTAGCTTACAGGGCATCCACTCACGACACTACGGGCCTGACGCCTGCTGGTCTAGTGTTCGGACGAGAACTACGGCTACCCTGCGACCTGCTGTTTGGAGTACCCCCAGACAAAGAACAACCCACAACCGATTATGCAGCAGACTTAGTGGATCATCTGCACGACATCCACAATTATGCCCGGCAACACCTGAAGCTTGCCAGTGACCGGATGAAAACTCGGTACGATAAACTGGCCAACTCCGCAGGTTACGACGAAGGCGACAGAGTCTGGCTCTATCGCCCAACCCGCAGAAAAGGGAAATCGCCGAAACTACAAGCATCATGGGAAGGTCCTTACAAAGTAGTGACCCGGATAAATGACGTGGTTTACCGAATCCAGAAGACCCCTAGGTCGAGGATGTTAGTTGTGCACCTCGACCGGCTTGCGCCTTATCATGGAGCTGCTCGAGACGAGCAACCATAAAAAGGGGGAAGATGTGGCGGTTGGAGAGCAGAGCAACGGGGAGAAGAGAACCAGTAGGAGGACACAAAGAAGATGCTGCAAGAACAGCCACCGAGGAAAAGGAACGGGGATGCACCGTTAGGCTATTCGGGACGAACAGCCTTAAGGAGGGAGCAGTGTGACATGTTGCGAAATCTGAGCCCCCCCCCACACCAGCAGTGACGCGGTGGGTGAGTCAGCGCTCCCCTCCCACCCCTCAGCGGTAACGTAACGCTCGCGGTAATAGGCGAGTAATCACCCCGCAATGCGCAACGCGCGGTGACGTCACGAGCGGAGCCGAAGAGAGCCGAGCGGAGCCGAAGATAGCCGAGCCCCGTAACCTGGCAACTACGCAATGCTAATCAACAGCGGTGACGTCACGCTAGCAACAGCGTCCTATGCTATCCGCCACGTCACACTAGCAACAGTGCAAGGCTATATAAGCGGACCCACAGCAGTGTGATGATCAGTTGAAACATAGCAGCCTGCGAGTGTGCGATAACTAAGAAGTCAGCGAGCGGAAGACTTATTGTGTGCTTTCCAGACATAGTGAGTGCTGTAGTACAGTTGTACTCGAAGTGTGTAATTCAGGGAGACTTGTATAGCTCCCGCGTTATTAGTACGTGAAGACAAGTGAAGACGGTGTTAAGAGATTCTGTTGTAGGGTTTGTAAACTGTGGAAACCCGTAACGTTGTGATAATTAAGTGTAGCCGATAGTTGTAGATTGTTCAATAAACCAGTTAACGATCTCTACGGCGTATTCAGTAACGTAAACACGTTACAATATATAATCAATTTTAACGTAAAGGAAGGCTGCTGTGGTGAAACAAATTGAATTTTATATACAGTGCAGTGGAAAATTACATTTTTAAACTATCCTTTATGGAAGTGATTGCAACAACATCACTTCTAAGTAACATACTTCAAGAATGTTCTTATTATAAAACTTTACGTCAAACATCTATTTCGACAATGGAAAATTAACAACTACATATAGTGAGCGTCATAAATGTTTTAAGTATATATAGTCTTATAAAAACATTTTCGTTTTGGTGGGTTCCTGATCGTAGTGGTATAACTCCGTTGATGATTCATAAAGAATTGAAACATGTTAGGTAACTAAGTGCTGAAGTGGTGAAGGCATAATATGCCACATTGGACTGAAATAAACTTAATTGTAAACTTAATAGTGTGACGGACCAGAATGAAACAAATCATATTAAATTTGTTTTTGAAATACTGTTGAATTGCATACTGGATAATGGAAATTGTTATTGTGTCTTGTTTTATTGCTATGAATCTCAGAGTTACATTTAAATTGTTAAACAACAAGAGAGAAAATATGTACTATGATTGGGGTGGCAACATTTTCAGTTTCATAAACAGTTCCGTGCAAGAGTTTCTACTTCTAGAATTAGTAATAATTCTAATTACCCTTTAGCCTAAAAATATTAATACTGTGCCCCAGCAAATTTTACCATAAGTTGTAACAGAATGAAAATGTGAAAAACAAATCATTCTTATTGTTTCCTATGATATAAGGTCTAAAGGCCCTGATTGCATAATAGACTAAACCTAATTTAGACATAAGCCAGTCGACATGTCCTTTGCATGACAACATTGTCGATAATTAATCAAATTTGGTATTAGTAGATTTAGCAATGTGATTGTTACCATAGTCAATATGCATATCCACCGGATAGCTATTTTTAGTCAAAAATTGTATAAAATATGTTTTATCAAAATTTAATGTCAATAAATTAGCTTTAAACCAATCATTTATGTTTTTAAGTATTTGAATAATACTTTTTTAATCTAAAGGGCTGGAATTTGTGATAATCAAGAAACTGTGTTTTACTTGCAGAATATATTTGTCTCTTATGATTCATAAATTGAACAATATTATTACCTGAACACCATTAAACAACTGATTTGTGTAGGAACTGAATTTTTAAATATTATTCAGATGAACTAATCTTTACTTTACTTTCATACTGTCCGTATTATTACAAGCAAGCAAAACCTGGGAACCTTCTGACAAAATAATGCTCCTCCCACAATAAAGTATCTCACGTCTTCCATGACTTTCACTTTCACCTATTCTTCTTTATACCTCTATCTCTCCTTCAGGCCTCAAAGGGTTAATTACTGAGCATTAATAATGTTATCTTTAACTGTTCTGATTTTAATTGGTATAACAGCTGAGATTTCCACAGTTTAGTGTGGTTAGCATAAGGAAACCTGTGAACCATCTTTTGACATTCAGCAGGTTAGGGTCAAGGAACAACTGGTTTTAAATGCATAGTAGAGTTATATGTCCTGTATGTAATTTCCCTTGTTTCAGTTCTGTTGGCAGTCAAACATCTGTAACGATGCAAATTTTCCTAAATTTGTGTAGCACTGTGTGTTGACTGGGGTGACAAAATAATATTAATTCACCAAATAAAGGTCAACACTATTATTTTATTTTGTATACAAGGAGTTAAGTGTGAAATAGATAATGCGGTATGTATGTTAATGATTTATAACAGTTTGCCTGGTACTGATAAGGCAATTAATTCAAGGGGAGATATAATGGATATATATCTTGGATGGGAGAAGCAAATTTGCTTATGCATACAAAAACAAATACCAGTTATTTGCTCATTGAGGAAATTTTAATACATGCAGTCTGTATCAGCATTGCTGTTCATAGGTACATAATATACACGTATGTTGAATATACTGTGTTTATTTACAAATATCTATTCACATGAAATTTGTTTTTAAATTCAGCTTTACATTTCAACTTCATTTCATATGTTCAGTACCAGCACTAAAACGATATTTTTTGCTCTTGCTGTAATATCTGTTGCTATACCTACATAATCTTGTATTTACACTATATTTTACTTTCATTTTTAGGCCTGTTGGTGATACACATGTTAACTTTGCTCTGATTGTCTGACATGAAAATTGGGTTTCTGATAAACTTTACACTATACTCATATTACAAGGGCATGCAATAGCATAGTTGGTTGAGGCACTATGCTACAAGCCAGAAGGTCATGGGTTCAGTTCCTGATAAGGTCATTTGATTTTTCAATTGGCCTAACCCTATCTTGTAGATTGTGAAAAACATTTTTATGCCATACAAAATGTAGGCAAACTTGAAATTCAGTGACTTTTCGTATGCCATATCATGGATCACTGAGAAGAGAAAGACCAGATGAAAGATTGGGGGGGGGCAATTGTGATCTGAATCTTGGAATTGGAACAGTCTAGTAAAATTAATCAGTGGATGATCAAAATTGCCTTTTTTTTTTCTCTCCCAATGAAATTGATGGAACAGGGACATCCAAGGAAATTAAAGAAGACATGTATTATTAAGCACCAGTTTATTATTGTTCAATTAGTCAACATTTTGTCACTACAATTCATATCCATTCAGTATTAACTTCTCAGGAAACATCCATAGGTAGTCTCCTTGTAATTTCTAAGGAACAAGATTTTGCATTTTAGTTGACCAGATTTCTGGCCCATTTACCCACCACTTGGCAGTAAGCATCAGTTATAAAATCCTCTAGACACACAGAACATTCAAATTGCAATGCTCGCAAATGATGCTAGCTGCCTTCTGTAAGTCATTTCTTGACTTTTACTCATGCAGTTAATGCTAATACCAGAATATACAGGACATACTGGAAACTTTTTCTTGAACAGTTGCTCACTGAGTAGTATGGTATGTTATGTCTAAACTACAGATGATTACACAATGCTATCTACTGCTGTGACAATGAAAACTATGTACAACAATACCTTTCTCTCATGGCAAAGATCCAGAGCCCCATTAAAAGTTTTATTTTTTCTTTTTTATGATAAAGCCTACTGAGCTGTCAACATTTCAATGGGACTGTAAATCAGAGGCATGCAGTAAGACCACCACAATCAGGCAGTCAACAAGGAGTGGGGAAACTGTGTCAATGTGTTCCGTAATTCAGCAAGGTTCATGTTGTTTGGGTCTGTATGTAATCTGTTGGATATTTCAACAAGCTGTGCTGAACCCTTCCAACTAAAATAATCCCCAAAACATTAGTAAGATTAATGCTAAAATGTGGGCTGCATCCTGACACTATATAGTCTTTCTTACAGACAGCACTGTTAAACTACAAATAAAGAAAAAAAGGGCTACATCAGATGACAGAGCAGTTGCTTGAGATATAATCACATTTGTCAATATACCATTAAAAGTTCAAATATTTATGGAACCCATGAGAATATTATGTTATTACTTGCTGTAACATAACTTAATATGAAGCAGGGAAAATGACACAAAGTTATATCAGAAGTGGGAACATAATCAGTATCCTGTACCATGTAACACATGTTACTTTCCAAGCAGCAATTAATATAATAGGAGGATGATGTGTTGGCAAGGAAAAAGCCTGATGATGCTCCTCTGAGTGACTTACAAAATTAATCGATGCTGCTACCTGCCGTTACAGTGGTTTGAGCTGCTTAATGGAAGTAAAAGACTAGTATTAACTACTAGTAATGCTAATATTCAAACTGTGCTTTAATGTAGAAGCCTCTTCCCCCACCACAAAGTTACCATTTTTCCAACCAAAATTCTAAAACAATTAAAAGAGTATATGTTTTAGACCATTATCTGATTGTAACTTGGAGCTCTTGATGAGAGCATTGGCATGAATAAAGTCACTAACATTTTTATAAATAAATGTTGCTCTGCTCTGAGAGTGAAATGTCAAGTATTTGCAGTTGATTTACCTTCCCAGTGTTGGGAGGGTCATACCACATTTTGGGAGATGGTGATACAGAGTGCCTACTTTTCCATCATCACAACCTTCATATTCTTTGCTTGAAGCATATCACTGTGAAATCAACTTTCGCTCAAATGGATAAATATGTATAGAATAGTGATAAGCAGGAGGGGCCACACATGTAATCAGCTCCTAGACGTGCTCTTTCAAATTAAAATTATTCTGATTCAAGAAGAGACAATTCCAAGGGTAGGCTAGATTTCTCTTTTCATCATCACATCAGACTAGTTCTGGGTCTACCCAGCATCCAGTCCCATGGGTACCAAAAACTTTTTTCAGGGGGAAATTAAATCTCACCATGCAACACCAGTGCCAATATTAAACATGCACACAACTGTACCCCCACTGTCCCATACATCTTCATGGCATGGTGCTTAATTAAGTTAAAATTGAGTTAAAATTGTTACTGTAGACACCTGCTAGAGTGAAAGCCCCTAAAATATAGTGAACAAGTGGCCTGTGTATTCCAGTGAGTTTCTGCATCTAAAGTAGGCACACAATTCTACTTCAAGCAGGCACTCTGGAAGCATATTCTGTTGACATATGATTACAGAAGTTCTCTCTATGGACAGAGGAGAAGTGGCTGCACTGATACATATCCACCACCAACCCTATATTACATTAACTTGCTCCCATTTCCACACAGCAAGAATTAAGACAAAACAAACCATTACCTACTTACTAGCGGTACTGAGGTATTCATTACTGGAACTGAATGGTTGGCTTAGCAACTGGAAGAATCCAATTCATGCTAGAAGAAGAACTAGGGAAATCCAGTTTAGAGTATGTTAGCTGTCATATAACCAGACAACTTTATTGACTACACACATCAAAAACAATTGACACTTCATTCCTTTGAGTGTCCACTGGTGAATGAAGTTAAACAAATCATTTTAGGTCTTCATGGCTGACCACAGTGGCTGTGTGGTCTAAGGCATAAACTTTCTTTGCCCACTCAAACACTGGGGTCATGGGTTTGAATCTCACTTGAGGTATGGATGTTTTGTCCTTTATAGGTAGCAGCCTTGCACAGGGCAGATCTTTGCCCAAGAATTGCTACCAACTGTATGTGATTAAGAAACTGTAAGACAGGCCAAGGTTCATTATGGATTGTAGTGCCCGCAGATTTTATTATTGTAGGTCTTTATGACATATAATCATGCAATTGTAATATGTTAACCCATGTTAAAGTTTACTGGAAAGTTCTGATATGGAACTATACACAAGTTAATAAATCAAAACCCCTCATCCTGAGAAGTCTGTGTATCTCCAGGTTTCTCAGATTGAGCCCAAAGATAATGTTTAAGCTGCTGTGTGGTGGGGCAAATTTATGTGTTAATTTGATTTTTCAGGGACTGACATCATGTCAAACTTGAGTAGTTCATGTTCATTTGAAAACAGGAAGGACCCATGAGTTGTGTGAACATTTGCTAATCCCTTGATAACAGTTGCCAACAGATGTGTTGTCAAATGTCATCAGTTAATGATTAAATTAAAAGTATAAAAATATACATGCATTAAATATGTTAGCAACATATAACAATGACAGTGGAAGACTACATGATGACACTTCATCAGTATGGCACAGTTCGTATTGTTATGCCTGGACAGCCTGGCAAGCTGTCCAAATCATGTGCACAATAACTTCAACAATATGTTGCAAATGACTGGAGAAGAAAACAAGAGTTCAATGCAAGCTCCTGCAGATCTGTGAGTGTCACATTTTTGTGGGCAAGATTCAGTATTGAAAGACATAAGCCACCACCCTAGTGGTGCTGCCATAACATAAGATCAGTCGTAGCAAGCCATTGCATCCACCCTCCTGCATAAGGAGAAGCGTGCAAGGGCGAAGTTGCCTGCAGGAATGTGAAAGTGAGATTGACTTTCAAACACCTGGATGCATTTTGCTTTATCAGTTCTCTGCCATATGGTACCAACCAGCAACTAACTTAGCTGCTGTGACTGTATGCAGTGTTGGTATAGGGACCACTGTAGATGGAGCTACCAGTGTTGGATGCATCTTTTCTGTGTCGGCGGCGTGCCAGTAGAATCAAGATGGCTGCAATTACAGCCAGCATGAGTACCAGGCCAGCAATTGCGATACCAATGGCAAAGTTGCGTTGTGAGATGCAAATGCTGTTTGGATCCTCAGGCGTCTGAAATGTCGTTAAATTCACAAGTTCAAGAAATATTTATATGGTGAGCAAGAAAATAAATTCCTAGTGTTGATACTAGAGTGATCACTGAAATGGTCATGATACATTCCAGAACCCCCACCCCTTTTTTATTGCTAGTGGGGTGGGACTAAGTCCCTTGTACTGCGGCCATTTCTGGCCTATTGTACCAGCCCCAGATGATAGGTGAGGGTGATTGTGGAGCAGTTGGTGGAATGAAGATTGGCAGGGGAAACCGAAGTACTCAGAGAAAACCTGCCCCAGCGCCAATTTATCCACCACAAATCCAACGTGACCAGACCCGGGATTGAACCTGGGCCGCCGTGGTGGGAAGCCAGCGACTAACCACTTGAGCTATGGCGTAGCCTTTCCAGAACCTCCTTACTAGTGCTCCTATGACAGATGTAATGCAGACATTCTCTTATCTGTTGTATGTGTCAAGAAAAAAGAAAATTAGCTATAATATTTCGTCTGTATTATTCGGAGTTGTATCTCCTTGGATGTCATGCGATGTAATCTGTTGAAAGTCAATCAGTGTTTCAGAGGAACAAGTCGCTTCCATCTTTAGAGTTTAAGAGTAAGCCAAGAAACCAGCATAAAGCAGGCAGTAATCAAAGCTCTGTTGACTTTCAATGGCCTACACAACATTATATTCCAGAAGATAAAACTCTTCATAACCTCTGCTGTGAGAAATTCAAATCCTATAATTCAAAACTTGTACTAATTAAAAATATGTGACCACTACCATTCTGAAAAGCTATCAGGACACAGGCCACTCTACTCCAGACATTCTGGGATGTCTGATCACTAGGGACCGGATTTTTATATCCTAATAATCCCTTAAATATGTATGCATTTATGCATGAAAAACTTCCAAAATTATGCACATAAAAATTTCATACCAAATATTAAAATTGATTTTACAATATTCTAACACAAACAAATCAACATTTAAGTTCATTTTATGTATTCACTGAATGATTCACTTGCAATCAAAATCTGTAATTAAATACAAATCGTGCAAGAAAACCAACATTTTTTCTTTACAAGTTAAAAAAACCAATGGTACTCACATTTAGCTCTCTAAGCTTTCAGCTTTTCATGTTTCAGTTCACAATTACTAAAAGTTTTAGGTTTTCTATACTTAGTCGCCTCCTATTGTTTTGAAAGATGGCCTTATAGTGGGAAAAACCTCTTTCCACCTCACACAAACTTAACCTGGCATCAGTAAGGTGGGGTGTCACAGACCACAACGATTTTAATTTGACAAACTTTTTAAGAACGCGTGGCAGTGAGTTGTGCCTCAGTGTAGCTTCCCCTCCTATAACCCACTAATAGACGCCATAGACAGGCTGTTGTGTGCAAGCAAGTTTAGTGTGCAGACGTGTAGTGTGCTGGGGTCCACCAGACCCCACCTTACCAAAAGTGTGACTATAATTACTTCTGAAACTTAGGTTGTTTTCATGTATATTCTACTAAAATATTATTGTTACTGCTATGTCTTCTCCATTTTTACATACCAAAAACAAGTATGTTTTCATAAACATTTTGACGGTATTTTGAGAATAATATATTTTTTTACCAGATTAGTTACACGCAGGAAGAACAGAGGTTACGTCGACTTATAGATGATGCTTTGACAGACGAGGAGCCATTTAGCGAGGAGATGATAGTGAAATTGATTTAGAATTAGTCAGTAACCATGGATCTGATACAGAACAAGACTGTGAAGAAGAATCATCAGAGGAAGAATCCACAAAGGGATCCTTTTACTTGGCAAATGATAAGCAAACAAGATGGAGTAAAAACAAGGTAGCATGTAACAAAAACATGTAGCAGGGTCCAAAACCAGGCACTGACCTTGATGTAGTTGTATTGTGATGGTCTTAATAAAGAAATTATAAGTTAGGATCTTGAATAAGAACTCGAGCACATAACATAGCAACACAAGCAACACAAAAAATGCAAAATCAGTTTTAGATTGGTGGAAGATATTTTTCCTGTGACATGATAGATTTAATTGTGAAGAATATGAATTAAACAGAAAAAAGCATGTAAATTACGCCAAAAATAAGAGTTTTCAGAAGACTGTTGTGAGTGAAATAAAGGCTGTGTTTGGACTTTTATATGTAGCTGGTTTTTTATAAGTCTTTAGATAATGGGTTCACAAGTTACGCACTGGCTAAATCCTTGTTAGATGATCATAAGCTATCTATGGTTGGAACAATCAAGAAAAATATAAGAGAAGTGACAACTGGGTTCATCAATACCAAGTGAAGAAGCTCAGTGATGACCATATTTGGTTTTCAACCCAATATCACCATAGCTTCATTTGTGCCAAAAAAAGAAAAAGCAAGAATGTTGTCATGATTTCCACATTACATGATGATGATAATGTAGATGAGAGAACATCTAAGCTGGAAAACATTCTCTTTTACAGCAAAACCAAAGGTGGGGTTGATGTAGTTGACAGAATGTCTGGAGTCTGTGGGGCCCCACCTTACCACTTTTGTTACATATTCCCACCTCACCAGCACCGGGTTAAGAGCACATGTACAAAAGCCGCTATTTGCTCCACTGTTAGTGATATTTTACTTGGGAGTTCAGTATGTTTTCCAGCTAAAATTTCTTCAATTTCACAAATTTGTTCATATCCTGGAGTTTTTTTAAAGGATGCTGTGTACTTTTTCTTTTACTACTTCACCAACTCTTCCAGGAACCAAATTCGGTTTGGAAACAGTGGTTTTGAATACACATAACAATTGATACAAGGTAGTATTGCTATTGCTTGCCTATAATGAGGAAATGGCGGATGGAAGATGAGAGAATTGAGCAGATATATAGGAAAGATTAGTTTCTAGTTCTGTGTTTTTTAGTATATCTTGCACAATTGAATCAATGCTGCATTCTTTGGATCCAATGTATTCACGACATTCCTAACTGTTTCTGAATGTTCAGTGTAATAACTCACTGCACACAGCCACGTGCCCTGGTGCATTAAAATTGGTTCTGGTGGAAGTGGAGCTTTCAGTGCTACTGCTTTAAAGGCCTCTTTTCTATATGGCGCTTTAACAAATACCTTCTTCACAGAAAGCAACTTGTCAACAAGTGGAAAATTTGCACAAATTGTTTCTGCAACATGGTGCAACCCGTGGGCAAGGCAAGTCAAATGTGTTATATTTGGAAATATAACTTTAAGAGCAGTACTGGCTTTGATTGTATAACTTGTGGCATCCGTCATAAAGAGCTATATGCGTTCATTCTGAATACCATTTGGTCATAGTAAATTTATGAAAGAATATATGGGGTAGATTATTCATCTATAATATTTTCAATATAAACCGTCCCTCACAGTCTTGATACCCACACAAACTTATCTTGAATCTTATATCTAATGTTTTCAATTGTAAAATTGTAACACTGCTTCACATAACTCTTGTACACAGTAGATTCATCCAGCACTATGCACTGTGTATACTTCTCTACGAAGTTTCCCAGAGTAGGATTGATTAGTTTCCACAGCGGAATATCTGCCGCTAAAAGTGCTTCACACAAGTCAAAGGAGAACTGTGAAAAACTATTATCAGAAAATCACTAAGCAATTTTTGAACAGGAGCACTTTTGTGGATTCTCTTTGTGTATGTTAGTGTTCAAATGCTGAAGCACTTGAAAGTGTTTTTCACAACCAACTGTTTTTTCATACACTTGACAGTAAAGAATTTTATCTGTGGTTATCATCTTTCCTTCGAACTCCTGCTGATACAGCTGTAATTTAGTTTTCGGACTTACTTTCACTTTCAGCATGACTGCAGAAAGCTAAACAAACTTAACCACAGACTAGTCACCGCTAATATGAATGACCCCCAGCTGCAAATGAAGAAGCATAGCAAACCTGATGGAGACTTTTGAAATAAATAAATGAAGTTCATTATTAGTTAAATAGTATTACTTTGCTAGCAGCTACATGTGAATATGCTTCCAATGAATCCCTATGCAGCCACTTTGATGGTATAATGATGAGACAAGTTACAAGTAGAGGGATCGGGGAAGTCTTGCCTTGGGGAGTCCTGTCCTAGGTATTGCATCAGAAACATGAATCCAGACTCAACTTGCTATTTGTATGACAAAATGTTGTGAGTCAGATACCCAGCCTATCCTAATTGGAAACGAAAAATTGTATACAAACAATGATGACTGAAAATTTGAACATAAAATTAAAAAAATTATATAATGCTATACATTTTAAGAAGAAAAAATGCAACATAAATAAATAAATAAACATAAATAAATTTGACAATATTATGCTTATTCATAAAGCAGGAAAATATGCATTTATATGCACTATCAATCCATGTCTAATATTTTAGAAATGAAGTAATTCATACATATATCCAAATGAGCATACTTCTTGGTTGCAAGAAAGAAATATGCATTGCATTAAAATCCGGTCCCTACTGATCACCTATGCAATGTATCCTGCTGACTGTTCCTAGTTTACATATCTTACTAGGTTCTCATTTAAATGAAGCTTCAATCACCTTTTCTCTGGCAATGTCATCATTAATATCTCCCTTGATATCTGTGGCTTCATTGACATATAGACCACTGTACACCTCAATAGTGGCTGGGGTGCCTCCATCCTTGTCTCCATCAGTGTCACGACGCTGGCGTCCCACTGCATTCTTCCCGCAAGATGGGGGCTAGAAGTTGACCAGTTTATGTTACGTTAAGGAAACAGTCCAGACCACATTGCAAAAATTTCAGACTATGACATGAAACTTAACATGGTCTAAATGCTTAGTAACTAAATATAAATATTAGATAGTGAAACTAATAATATTAATAAGAAATTGCAAGCTTAATGATATGTGTAGCCATCTATAATAAGAAGTTCACTACAATGACTGTTGGTAAACATTACTTGCTCTTTATTAATGTGGGGACTGTCTTAAGTGTTGTGTCATAAATAACATCTGCTGAAAAATAATTTGTGATTCTTTTTTCTCATTTCTTTATATGGGCCAGTGCACATTACTGAGACTCAAGGATTAATATTTTAGACTTCTTTCTGAATTCTAGAATGCAATAACCTCATTTGTACTATTTTAGTAATGCACCATTGAATCACTAGACACAGGCAAGCCACATCTGGCAACATTCAGATCTACTTTATGTGTAATTCACATATCTCCATTTTCTTAAGAAAAGTTCCATGGTAAGAATGCAAGAATTAAGAATAATATATATGTAAAGTCCTCAGGTGACTTTGAAAACTCCTTCAGGTCAACCTCCATGGGCAACTGATAAGGGTGAAAAAGACTTACCACATCATCACAGCCATGGTCTGCTTTAATGCACAGCCGTACATTGCACTGGTAGTATACAGATGCTGTATATGGGAACTTGTGTGCCTGGAAATGGACAAATGCTGTTGTCTTGCTTGGATTGTACTGGAACTGGCCCATGATCTCTCCATCTATTGGACACCTGGAGAAAGAAACATGCCAGAATATATTGTCAGCTGCAGTAGTCTGAAATTCTGAACGAAATGGGTCAACTAAAATTGTCACTCTTCTCTGCAATTGTCTGTACTGTCTGATAAGCATCTGATCACACACTCTCATGCACCTGTCTCCCATTGTCCCAGACTGTCCACTGTATGGACTGAACTTCCACACCCATGAATCTGTGATGTCACACTTTGGATCAGGACATATTTGGTGGTACATGTATCTTTGTCACAAATTTACTTTATATCTACCAGATGACATCTGCCTATGAGAAGTTCTGAGCTGTGTGAAGCAACATACTACAGCACTATGTATCTACATATGCATACTATAAAAAGGTTTTTAGCAATTTTTCTTCATGGTATCTTAAAAAAATTAATGCAAAGACACTGCATGTATTTTCTCATTTATGATTGAACTTGATTATGTTATCTTGCAAACTAAACTGATTCTTGCTTGATACACCACTGCTGGTTGTTGACTACTGAACAACTATGACATCCATATGACCAGTGAAATCTGTTTCAATTAAAATCAGCATTCAATGTTTGGGCCTCTAGTACATGTACCATTATTTTCCTGAGGTACCACCTATGTAGTCGAGAAAGTCACCATTTTGTATTTTGAGGCTCGTCTGAAGATCCCTCTTTTTGGAGCTAGAATGTTCATACTCAATGGGCACTAGCATATGACAGATACTGCATATGAATAAAATCGTACTGTTCAGGCTCTAGAGAGATGCACATCTGTCCAACCATCCATCCACCCGTGCAGCAAACTAAAAATCATATTTGCATTTAGTGGGCTCAAATACTGTCAATCCATGAAAATCTCAAGATCAGTATTTTCACTATCAAAATACTTTCTCATATGCATTTGTATATGATCTGTGGCTGGAGTTCTATTCCAAGTGATGTCTTACGAGTTCTACGGTAGATAAATTTTTCTCCATGTATTTTGGTTTCCCCTACCACTTCTCATGTCACCAACTGCCCCACGTTCATTAGTCATCCCAGTCTCAATATTGACAGCATCTTTAAATAAATGACTTAAAAAAGAAGAAAGTAAACATAAGACAGAAAGAAGGTTTCAAAGATACCAAAGTCACCCCCCAAGGAGAGAACTGCCATGTTCAAATACAATCACTTATGGAATGGGAATTTCGTTCTCAGTTACTCCATTTTCATATGGATTAATAGATTTTAAATAAGTTCCTATGAATATCCGAAACAGAGGTTTAAGGAAGTCAGACAAAACATTATACTCATTGCAGACTTTGACATAAACACAGCAAAGAGTATGGGGGATGTGGATGATAGGAAACTCACCCCTCATCATCAATGAGCCTTTGTTCACCCCAGCCAAGACCATCCCTCACAAGACAGTCTGATATCCGTAGCCCATACACATCTTGCTGGTCGATGGAGATGACAAGTGTCAAGGGGTCACCAATTTTCACATTCTCTGCTACCTCATGCAATGATGGATCTCCATAGAAGATCTTCATGGTGCAACCAGGCATGGGCGCTGTTGCTGTCAGTGGTGTTGCATCCATCATACTACTCACAAACATACACAAGTGTTATAGACAATTTTATTAATAATTTTCAGCTTGAATAACCTGCTATAATCATCAAATCTGGCCAGTGTTTGTAATCAAGTGCAATTTATGTGAAGGTGAAGCATATAATGGAAATTTTTCATACAGTGTTACTACTGGTTTGGTTATTTCTACATAAGAATTGCAATTCAAATTCTTACACACACATACTAAAATCTGAAACTGAGCTGGAATTCAAATTCTGAAATACTGTCCTCAGAATTTATATTATGTGTGATGTGCTAAAAATTATGAAAATAATGTGAAGACATCTCACTGTTTGCTTTTAGTGCAACGGGTGATTGCCAATCACAATGGTTTTCAATACAAAGACGTAGAAATGAGAAAACAAAATTATTTTTGTTGTTTGTGTGTGCAACAGTGAAAATTCTGTTTTGTACTGTTGGAGCATGCAGCTGAATCTCTGATGGCAACTGCACTCTATGATCAATCATATAATTTGTCAGAGACAATCAGCATAACGTACTGCTCTATTTCAGCAAGAAAGATGGAGACTATATGAACTAAATTAAGGAAACCAAAAGTTGCTCCTTTTGGCTTCAGAATTTAATTCAAGATTCATTCTTGTAGATACTCACCTGACATTAACGTTGTTAGTGATGGTCTTGTCTTTAGTGGTGTAACGACAGCGGATGTGGAAACCACGGCCCTGGTTTGTCACCAGTTTAAGGTGGGGCTGTACCACAATTGTGTTGAAGTATTCAATGCCCCCATCAGACTGCATTAAAAGTAAAATAACAAAGTGAGTGCCAGCCCATAAAGATTTATCAATGACAGCTGGCTGAATGTTTCTATTCTTCCCTTATTCAGATGTTATATTAGATTTATGACTATTTAACACTTGGAAAAACAGTGTTACCGAGAAAATGGAAGTGATATCTTGTTTTGTAAAGTGAGCAGCTAGAGACTAGAATTAGAACCAGATATGGGCATTTTGATGTATTTTTACCATATATTCAGAATATTTCTGTGGTTCATCCAATATTCTGCACAGTTAAATATTTTTCTACAAGCTACAAATGTAAATGCTTTATTTATCCTCTTTCATCTATATGTGTTATTTATATGGGTTCCTGAATGCTTGAAGACGAAATACTGAAGTGCTAGTTTCTGTGTTAGATCCGCTGCCAGGAGACAACTAGTGAAGACGGAGAATCCTAGTGTGTGTGTGTGTGTGTGTGTGTGTGTGTGTGTGTGTGTGACAGTAAACTGTAAATTGTGTAAATCAGCGATAGCGCTGTATTGATTTTAGCACAATCACTTAAATATTTTAAGATCAAACGTTTAAAGAAGATCTGCTGTGTGGGTGTGTTGATCAAAAAATGTCAAAGAGAAAAGCCCCAGTACTCCCTGTTTTGTATTATAAATTTAATATATCGGCACACTATATTATTTTTATGCTTCTCGGAATCTGAATAATCTTAGCCGCTGATATCGTACAATTGAAATCACAGCATTAATTTCCAGTACCTGACATTTACTTTGACAACACATGTTAATTCTTGTAACTAGAAATTCAACAATATATTTACCTCACATATCTTCTTGACTTTGGTTCAGACGAAAATAAATATCTCAACACCAGTTTGGGGATTCTCAGGCATCCCTTATATAGCCCTAGGGGTTTTCCCATTCTCCCATTGTCCTTCAATGACATGGACTTGAAATATACTACTTGAAACTATAGCCTCTTGTTCATTTATTTGGAGAGACCTAAAAATGTAATTACCACAGATTTCTATCTACTGACTTGAACAAGTGGGTAAGTATATTTCTGGGGTAATGCTAGGCAATCATAGTTGTCCCATATTTGATATATTTGATTTGAAAATGGAAAGCTTGCTAATATACATGTCCCCACTTTCAACAATTGTTCGGATCAGCCAACCTCAAGCATATTTGACCTGTTCTTCTACAAACTGAATGTCAGAAAGTTCTCATAATTCAGCTAACTTAGACGTAGAGCACATCTACATGCAGTACATATTCTTCTTGAGAGCAATGGAGCAAAGAATAGTAATAATCTATATAAAAATAGTGGAGACACTTTTGCAGTTTTGTAATCATGGATGTCACAGGTGACTTATGGACGTCATGTGTCGTTTATTAATATGCACTTAAAAATATTTGGCTGTAAGTGCAAGAAGGGCTTCATACAGATTTAAAGTATCAATGACTATTTTAATTCTCTTTTATTTTTGTTTAAATTAAAGGGAACTACAATTTTCAACCTCCATTTTCTCTAAACTGTGTATTTTATCCCAAAATAAAAGATGAGACAACAGTATACACTTTTATCTAATCAAACTACTAAACCTGTAGTGCTTCGTAAATTTACATTGTGTGAGGTCATAGCACTAATTAAAGACATTGCATTAAAGTCTCTTAAATCGGAAGATTCATCTTTACTTGACTATATGCTTACTGATATTCATTATCAAGAAACTTCCAACATTATTGTCTCAGTGTGGGTGACTTACTTATACGCACTTTGTCAATTGCAAGAACTGTGACCGCTTAACGTTTCTCAAATGTTGCGAGATTTCCTCCTACAGTATTTACTTTTATCGCATATCATTATACAGCCATGCCGTTACGCGCCCGACAAGGACGTAGGTTGGCGGCGAGTTGGCCAGACAATGAGCCAACATGTCCGTTGCTTGGCACCATATTTGTAGAAAGCAAGTTGCCCACTCCCTTTCGTTCTAAGAAGCGCTCTCCGAAAAAAGTGATGTTCTAAGGGCGGGGGCACACCATGGAAACCGGCAACCGCAACGCAACAGTAATTCCCGAGAATTGTTATCAGCCTGAGTTGAACATATGTTACTGAATGGAGCAGCTCAATTTGAGGAAACGGTAACGCGGTTTCCTCAGTTTGCGCTGCTCCATTCAGTAACATATGTTCAGCTCAGGCTGATAATTCTCGGAAATTGCGGTTGCGTTGCAGTTGCCAGTTTCCTTGGTGTGCCCTCGCCCTAACACATCCAGACCCAGACAAATCTCACGAACACTGTAATGAGCTAGGGAAGGTAGAAACCTTACACATCGGAAATCCACATTCATTTTTGAAGGAACAAAAATCTACATATCACGGGAGAAATAGACGACGACATAAGGGGCTCATTTTACATCCTCTTCTTCCGGAATCCTGCTCGCCACCGTGAGATCCTCAAACCTCACATGACCTTATACATTAAGTTACAGGCTGTTTTGTTACATAACCGACGATGGCTTTCGTCACAATGTCCGGAACTTTCGTGTTATTGTGAAGAAGTTTTGTTACAGTAAACCTGTTTTTAACTGAGGGAACCAGCAGAAATTCTAGTCCCCTGGGGCGGCATTTGGACTTTTACCGAAATTTAAACGTATGCACATTGACAACTGAAAGCCAAATCAACTTAGAAATTATTTCACAAAAACGAGTAAGTAACGTTGTAATAATAAGAAGCTGTGATTTATGTTTCCCTATTTCAATCCCTTACTTGGACTGGCATCCGATGTTTGACAGCGCAATAGTTCCACTGGTACCCTCCTATAAAATGGGTACCAGGGGCCATTTCCTCAGGTATAAAGAGGCAGAAGCTTGAAGCTAACCGCTCACTTCTATCTAAAGTCGAGGTTAAGAATGGTGAAGCTATAATTCCACTCCCCCATGTCTTCATGGCGTGTTGCTTAATTAATTAAAGCCCAGCAATAACTATATCCTTTTACCTTTACCATCAAAGACCCATGACGTCTAGCTCTACGCATTCTTAACCTCGCAACTAGATGAAGCGATGAGCTTCACACCCCGCTCACTTTACCACAGGAGAAAGAGCCCGCGGTACCCATTTGACAGAAGACTGGCTGTTACCCAGTGCCGAACTCAATGCCGTGGAGAAATCTCGCTTGCTCCTGTCGGGAATCGAATCCCGATTCGAACGTCCGACCAGCAGTCCGTCTCTATATCTACTATAGTATCCCAACTCCAATTTTGCTGGCTACTATTATTATTATTATTATTATTATTATTATTATTATTATTATTAATGGGACACGTGGTAGCGTAGTTGGATGAGGCACTGTGTTACCAGCTAGAAAGTCGGGAGTTCGATTCCCTAGGAGGTCACTGGGTTTTTCAGTTATCTAAAACTTCCAATCGCAATATGGCCCTGGGGTCGACTCAGCGTCTAATAAAAATGAGTACCAGGATTCTTCCTGGAGGTAAAGGGCAGCCGGGGCGTAAGGCTGACAGCCTCACTGCAACATCTGAGCAGATTGTCTAGAAAATGTGGGAGCCTCGACGTTTTACCTACAACTTTATGCACATCCACAGCGTGTTAGAAGGATAGCTTTAATTTTTTAATGGTATTATTAATAGAGCAAGTCCACTTTGAAGTGGACAAGCAGAAGTAATCTATGAGCTGTGACCTGCTGCCGCAGAGGAATGCAGACTATATATTATGTTGTAGTACCTTTCTATTAACACTATTAGAGTTTATACCCCGCGCTGTTCGAACCCAATTTAAAATCAAGGGACATCTATGCAAGAGCTCTGAACAAATTCAGACAGCAAAGTGGGAAGATGGAAATATCTCGGAGCTGCATAAGAGGAGCCTCGAAGGACCTTCCGCTTTGCACGGAGTTCACTTGATATCGCAGCTGTGGAGTGAAGCGCTGCTCCACGTGCCAGTCTGATGTATATTGCCATCTGGTGACAAAATTTTTGGCCCTACTTTCACTGGCAGTCATTTCTACTGGTGATTTTTGACCAGTCAGTCCTGAGGACGAACCCGCCCTTCGGAATCATGAATAGACTAAAATGGACCGTGACAATCATGGTCGTCTATTATCTTCGCTGACGAAAAGATAGGTCTGTCTTTTGCCAACGTCTTGGACTTTGTCAAGTGTTCATATTTGAACGTGTTTACAGGTACAAAACAGGCAGAAATAATATTTACAGCGTTACGGATGTACAAGCAAATGTACAAGCTCACTTTCATTGCCAAACCGACTTGCGACATAGAGTAATATACAGTGCCTTCAAACAGCAACAACAGCTGAAGCGTTATTGAATATACTTTTGCGTCCTAAATTCTACCAATAAGGTAAAGTTGTTCCCGTGTTTAACTAATTGAACACTACGCTATGAAGGCGTATGGGGGAGTGAATGTGTAGATCCACATTTCTTGGCCTCGGCATTGGCTGGAGGTGAGTGGTCAGCTTCACGACCCTGCCGCTTTACCCCCGGAGGAGGAGCCCCAGGTATCCATTGGATAGAAGGCTGGGTGGACCCCAAAGCCGGTCTGGAAGACGTGGAGGGAGACAAAATTCTTGACCCCACCGGGACTCGAACTCCGATCTCTCGGTCGTCCAGCCCGTAGACAGTCGCTACACCTACTACGCTATGTCGGCCCTAAATTATACCAATAATATTTGCAAAATAAAGGGGAACACATTTTCTAGACAGACTTGTCGGTTTACAAAGCAGTAAACGGAAAATATTTTTTAAGTTCGTATGATCGTCATGTCGGTGCACTTAACTTACATACCAAGCGAACCAAGAGTTGCCGTGTCTTTTTCCGACCTTGTAGACTGACATAACTACACCGCAAGGGGGATGCATGGAAGAATCTGGTGGCTGTGATAAGGAACTGCTGCGCTTCCTGGCCAGGACTGGATAAGAACTCGCTGCTGTGCGTCCCAAGACATATCGACAACCCAAAGAACGCCAATAGT